TAGAAACAGTGTCGCCCCCTTGCACTTAAATTCGATTCCCTTCTCGTAATCTTTATCAATTTATTAAAGGTATTCCCAAAAGTAAAATAAAAAATGCCTTAACTGGTTAAACCTTATAGGATTAGGTGGTAACGCCCCACCACAGCTAGATAGATGGGAAGGAATATGTTATTAAATAAATACACATAGGTTAGGTTAATGTGAATAATATTATTTTTTCGGTTCAAACATATAGGATGATATAACTCGCATACCCTATAACTCGAATTTAGGTGACTAATTACTTTCATAAATAGGTTGATTAATGGGTGAGATCTGAGTTGTAATGACGTTGAATTTAGAAGTCACTAGAAATGAAAAGATAAGGACCAATGAGCAGAGTGGACATAATCGAGGTGAAGAAAATTGTGTAAAAAGTGGGAGTTGAAAATTGAAATTGGCATGAAAGGTAGAGGTCGCATGCAAGCTCACCAACAATTGGTGGGGTCGAAAGCTGTAGGCTCACCACGTGGATAAAAGTGAATAGTAAATAGGAGAGCTGGTGGAGATTGGATAAGGACATGGCAAGGGTTTGACTGAGACTGAGGGAGCATGCTCCCATCCTATCACCACCATTATGGTTGCGCGGCGCTCAACTCAATTTCTCCTTCAGCTTTCTTTCAAGGCATTTGGTGATTGTGTAACGGATGCGCTTTGTAGTCGTGGGTACACTACAACCTGGTGCTCCTTCGTCCTCGCGTCCTAATGTCTACCAGATTGGGAGGGGAACGGGGATCATGGTCATGGAGATGTGGCTTTTCAAGATTTCTAGGTTTTAATTCCTTTGGTTATTAGCACTCGAATAAAAGCAACTTCTTAGGTCACATTTAGCGAGTAGGATTGAATTATTTAAATTAAAATGAGCAACAGATTCTGACGATTTATTAAGTGTGCTAAAACTAAACTTATTAAATTGGACAACAATCTGACATATTAATAAGTCTTATAAGTCCTACCTAGAGGGATGAGACTCATAAGGACTAATTTAGACTCAATTCCGATCCAATCCAAGCCGGTTAGACAAGTAGAATTCTATAGTGAGGGTCTCATCTAAGATGAGACAATATCTTTTAACCATTTGATCAAATTGGTTAGTTGAATCGAACGATATCTCATCCAAGGGCCTTATTGAACAAATCATTGTTGACCCACAAAAGAAAGGCCGGCTCCAGTTTTTAATGGGCTTAATGAATAGAAGAGTAGGTGACATGACATCGGCCTGGACCATCTCTTCCAAGAACGCGGCCAATAGTCATAAATAACAGGCTAAGACCCCAACCAACATACACAAATCAAGTGAGCCCAAAAAACCCAAAACCAGGGGGTTTCTAGAACAATCTAGATCTCCTCTTGTTTTCGTATGAGGATTCATGCTCTGCAATTGCATCAACCAAATCTGTAATCTAAAATCCAATAATCCTCTAATTCCAAAAGTTTTCAGGGTTGAACTCAATAGAAAGACAAAATAGTTTTCATAAGAGCAGAGAGAGATCACAAATTTCACTAGCCAGTAATGTCCTCCATTGCAACAATCACACAATAAGAAAGTTGTTGAAATTTAATTCATTAAAGAACCTACAATTTCAAAACCCCATTGTTGTTATTGCCTATTGGTGTAGTAGATAGTAGATAGCCTAGTGTTTCCGAGTCTGCTACCTTAAAGAGTTGAAGGCTCATTCATCAGCAGCGGTCTCGGCAGCCTTGACGACGTCGTCTTCATCGGGGTCGCGAGCAGGGTCAGACTTGTCCATGGCGGCACGAGCCTTGTCAAGCCAGGGCTTGAAAGCCATCTCTATGGCCAGCCATCCAACTGCTAGGGCTCCGAACACCACCATCGCTTGCTGCGTAGCCGTCGGCTTCCCCATCTCTTTTTCTACCTTCCTTCCTTTGCCTTCTTCTACTTGACAAAGTTTGACGAATTTCAAAATTCTCAAAAAATTCTCGATTCTCTACGCGTCTTGCCTTTCCTTGGAGGTGCAGCGTTATATATGCTGTGGTTTGTTTGGGTTTGGGTTTACGTCCCGTCACCGTCTGGGTTTGGACCCGGTTTGGTCACTGGGGAATCAGAAACCGGGATAAGAAAGCTGCCCTTCAGACAGTTTGGACCAACCCGCTTTCTCTACGCGTTAGTTTGTATTGTAATTTGTATTTGTATCCAACTCAAGTTTTTGTGTCTGTACAATCATGCCCAACAAGCCTTTTTGCTCAATTTACGCAAATCCCTTCATTAACAGAATTTTTCTATGTATCACAAACCTATCTTAAAACCAAAAACAAAAAACAAAAAATGTAAAACATCTTAAAATAAGAACTGCGCCTGCTCTCAAGTTTCATCCACCTTTCGATAGATAGAGATAGGATATCAACATATTACTATGAAGTCTCATGAAAAAGATTCATCAGGTTGACATGTGACAATGTCTGTAAAGGTGGTTTAAGATCTAAAAGCTAAGCAACAACTGATCCTGTCTCATGCAAACTTCAATCAAGTTCCGATACAATGAAGAACAATACGGCATAGCGGCAACCCCTTGTCGAGATCCAAGCTATTAGCCACCTATATCACCTAATAAGAGATGCAACTTACAAAAGCATCAACAAGAATAGGGAGCGCTAATTTTGGTGCCTCAACACCCAAAATGAAAATGGAGAACTGTATATGAGATGTCAAAAGCATATCGATTACCAACTTCTTAATAACATTTTGGGAGTTTCACTGGGGATAGACAACGAATAAAAGTGCAATACCGAAACTCATTTAATGTCTCCAAGATCACCAAGTTCTTCCTACAACAAAGGTGTTTACATAACCACGTGCCACAAAAATTATAACCCGTGCGACATCTTTAACGGCCACGCCCACGTCCCCGACCACGACCGCGCCCACGTCCACGGCCCACGGGTCTCCCTGAAATTGAAAAAACAAAGACGGGAAATAATGAGTAGAAGATTTATGACAGTGACCTGCGAGATAGCACTGGGTAAATCAAGAAAAATAGGTATGATTTAAAAAAGATAATTATATCTAATACAAGTTGCAGTACCTGCAGTTGGCTTCTTGGGCTTGACCCTAGGTGTCTCTTCAACTAGCAAAGTCTCAAGATTCAAACTATCTGGGAGGATATAGTATCGAATATTGTTTCCCCTCACGCTGAGATGATCCAGAGTCACTGGGTTCTTCCCCTTCAGCGTAAGTTTCACTGTCTTCAAATGTGTATTCATACTGATATCCACACCTGTACAAGAAGTTACCAGTCAGACAGAACAGCTACTTTTCTCCCCTATCAAGTTAGTTGGACACAAGGCACATAAAAGTGTGCAACAAAATCAAGATTTAATCTATTATCTATGTAATAAGTTAAAAGTAAAACAAATCATAGACTCTTCCTTTCTCTCCACAAGGCAATCCAGTCACAAAAAGCTGAAGCTTCTTCAACCATTACTGGATACTATTACATAATACACAAGAATCTCCTTTGGAGAGTATTAATAAAAAATTAGCTGTTCTACAGAAACATTTATGTTAGTGATGCATGTAAAGCAGGGTCAAATCTTTCATTGAGTCATTAGAAACAAACAAATTGTAAACCAAAATTTTTGAAGAAAACAAGCGTTAAACATATGAACAAATCATTTTCTCATAAAATCTTGTGTAATATTTGGAACACTAGGTTTACCAGTAAAGAAACCACCATAAGATTTTTTTGTCTTTTACTAGAGGATCAAACTAAAAAGCATCTTCTTCCCATTCCAAAATAAGGACTCGAAAGTTCTGCTGATGCTCTGTAGCCCATGCGTAGTTAAGGAATTGATTATCATACATAGAAGTAATCAGGGGGCTCAAGCAAATTATGTGCTGAAAAATGATATCCATGGTTTACAGATAAACCACAACGCTATCCCAACCCTTGAAAATCCAATGTTGAGCAAATTCATAAGCTCTGACTCTGGGTCAACACTTTGAAAGGAAAACAGAGGCATCTCAAAGTATACAACATTTGTTAAGACGCATGTTTGTTCACATCATAAAAGGATCAGAATTTCCAAGGAAATTCCCTCTACAAAGAAATCAAAATGATACAGCTGCCAGAAACTGAGCATCTATGCTGTAATCGAAATCATTAACAAGTCTCTTAAACAAGCCTGACCTCACAAAGATGTCATGAGCCCAATACCATAAGTAAGGAAACTATTCAAATCTTCCAGTATTCTAGATACTTAGACATATCCTGGTTCGCAAGTAATCTATGCACGTGGTTCGCAAATAATCTATGCACGTAAAAAGAAATTATAACTACTGAGCAATCTATGATGACAGAGCATATGTAATGTACATAACAAACTTATAACAAGCCATTACAAGTCCTAAAACTTTGTCAATTGCATCTTAGTAGACTCTAAACTTGGGTGGTATCCATGCTCTGCTGATGCTTCTACATGGTCAATTTATACGAATTGGCAGAGCCGGATGAGTGAAAACTTAGTTCTATAAACCCCCCGAGGGAAACAACACTCCAATCTGAAACTGTGGGAAGAGCTGAACGTCCTAAGACAACCCATGGAGATGCCCCACAAAGAGAAACCAACAACATAATTACTCCATTTTCACTAAATTCGTCTTATCTGATAAGAATCTAACATTAAATTTAAGGTAAGACCCACTTCTGCTATAAACACAATAATCACATTCTACGCTACACAAAAACTAGTATAAGTTGCTTTATAAGTTAAAATAGGGTAACACAAACCTAGGGTTTAATTAAACCCTATTATGTAAAAACTTCACTGTTCATATCATTTTAGAAAGAAAGGAGTAAGAGGGGAACACAGAAATACCTGTAATGGTGCCGTTGACAACGGTGCCGTTCTTGAGCTCGATCGACACTGTCTCGTTGTTCAACTTCATCAAGAACCTGCATATTTTCAATTTCCATTTTACTTCTGTACCAGCAGAAAATTTGCATCGCTGTTAACTGAGGAAGAAGAAGAATTAGAGGAAGAGAGAGAGGAAGACTAACCTGACGAGCTTCATTGTTGATAGAGAGACGACAGCTAGGGCTTAGGGTTTTGAAGCGTAACCAAAAACGAAGCGGGAGAATGGGGGATCTTGTCTGTGCCGCACAGAATGAAATTAACTTTAGGGCTCGGGCTGGTGAGGAGGTCTCTAGTAAACGACGGCAAAATTACTTAAACGCCCTTCCTGCATCCTACCGGCGTAGTAGAATACGTTGTCGTTTTATGACCTGCCGACTCACTATACCGCGAGCTGGGCTTAAATGGAATCGCACACAAAATATTCATGTGTAAGTCTCTAATATTTAATCAGCCCATTAAGGTTAAGCCCAAGACATTTTGAGGTGAACAAAACTCGTAATAAAATCCTTCGTGGTTATAGTTAATATTGTTACTAATCTCCATCCAGATCAAAAATTTCTATCATATTACCCTTCAATTCGAACCAATGTGTGTGTCATTTACATGGGTAAAAGTTCCTCGTAAGCATGATTTATGAGTCAAAGGAGCTTTAATAGCTAAATATGATACTTTTTAATCCTTACACATGACAATGACACGCATACACACAAAATTTAACTACTTTTTATTGATTGTTGGATTTGAACTAAGATTTGTAACTATTTAACGACAACTGTATTATTAAAGTTGTTTTTCACTACATAAGTAACATTGACATATGAGACCCACACATGATACTATTTTTCACCTTTAGTATCTCAAAGAAAAAGATGGTTTTGTTTTTATTTTTTGCCACCTTAATTATACTACAATACGGATTAGAGGATATTAATTTATGGGGGCGTATGAATGAAAGAAGACAACTCTAGCAACTCAAACATGACACAATTCCTTCTTGGCTAACTAGTTGCTTTGTGGACACCAAATCCTCCCCTTCCCCAAATTTAGAAATGCAATTTACCACTTCACCATTTTCCCAAACATCATATATGACAGTTTTAGTATCCATCTCAAACCTTTATGCTTAATCAATTGGTAGAAGCAAAGTTTATGAGTTTTTTTGAAAGTAGTTATACTACAATGACTATTATTGAATTTTTGGTATTGGTCTATTCGAAGGTGCCATTGATTTTTGTTTAATTGGTAACAAAGGAGAAAAAAAAGCAGAAATTAGAGAAGTTGGGTGGGGCGGGGGACAGGACAGGGCCGGTGTAGAAAGCAAACAACTAAACATAGTCGCTGGCGGTTCCTTAAGATATATAAACGAAGCGTTTTCATTGAACCGTTAGTTTGTTTGTTGGCTCTCTCTCTCTCTCTCTCTCTCTCTCTCTCAACTTGTCTAATGTCTCTCTGAAGTCAGTCTGATCCATCCAAACCTAAAACCCTAGACTCTCTGAGTCTCATCGATTCAGCAGATTGAAGAATCCAAGTCAATGGTACATACATAGATCCATATCACTCCTATCCTATGCTTATCTTTAAAATCTCAATCCAAAAAATGAAATATATATTTATTTATTTATTCAAAACATAATTGGGATTTTGTTAACTATGTCATTTTGATTTTTTAACTGTTGCCTTTGTTGGGTGGTGCTTAATTCCTTATTAGGATGGAGAAGAAAGAAGCTTGGGCTTGAAAAGAAAGAACCCATATCAGGATTCTGGGTTTCAAAGTAGGAACCATCAAGCTTTTGATAGACACATGCTTCCTGAAGGTAGGTAATGCTAACACTGATTATTAGTCTAGTTGGTGATTAGAAATCAATCATATTTGATTACAAGCTAATGGGTTTGTTCTTGTGCTATTAGGTTGGGTGGGTTGCCCCGCATATGGTGAAGAAATAAGTTGTATAATTCCTTCAAAAGTACCGCTTGGTGAGTCTTTCAAGGATCATATTCGTGGTGAAACATACACTCCAAAGCAAGTCATTCATCAACAAAGACTTCTAGGAAGAGAAGTAATTCCTTTTTTCATAAAGTACTATACTTTATATTGTATGATGTTGTTTGCTGACTGATTTTCATTTTCCAGCTTGGTTTAGTGATTGATTTAACAAACACTACTCGTTACTATCCCGTTTCGGATTGGACAAAAGAAGGCATTCGTCATGTTAAGGCAAGTGTGTTTGTGTTCTGTTCCTAGTTAGTGAGGTTTATATTTTTTACTTATGTCCTCTAATTTGTCTGCGCCAGATACAATGCAGAGGAAGGGATTCCGTACCTGATAATGTAGCTGTAGATAAATTTATCTATGAGGTAAACTGTCTCTATGCTAATTTTATGAAAAATTCACTTGACCCATTAGAAAGTTGAATGCTTTTTTCTTCTCTGGAATTCATGTGGCATCATTGTTTGGTGATGAGTTTATAAAAAGTATAAATATGTCGCTGATTTTGTGATTTTTAATAGGTATCACAATTTTTCTCCCATAGAGCTGACCCAACGGAGTGTATACTTGTCCACTGTACACATGGGCATAACCGCACCGGTTTCATGATTGTTCATTTTCTTGTGCGTAACGAATCAATTTCTGTTACCGAGGTAAGTAATTAGTTCTGTTGTAGTCATTTTGGTTCTGATTGAATCTATTCCATTATCCAAGAAACATTCATCGCTTTTTTTGGACTGACCATTCTGCAGGCAATAAATAAATTTGCCAAGGCACGGCATCCAGGAATATATAAACAGGACTATATTGATGAACTTTACATGTTTTATCATGAAAGAAAGCCGGAATCAGTTGTTTGCCCTCAAACTCCAGAGTGGAAGAGATGTTCTGATCTTGATGACAAGGCTGGAGCTGTGATGTATCAGGACAATGTATGTATTGTTTGAAATTAGTTAATCCTGTTTAATGTCTGCTCAGCAGTACCTTTTTTCTTGTTTAAGTACCTAACTGGATGCCCAACGTGTTTGGCTGTCAAACCACTTCCCAGTTGAAATGCTTATATGCGAGGTCATGTGTTTGGAAACTGTCCTTGTGATATCCTTTTTTTTTAATGACGAAATTCAAATTGCACCTTTGCCTTTGGTTTGATCGTTACTGAAAGTGGATTTTTCCTCTTCATCTAACTTTTCTTCTTTTGAATGCATTAGGAAAATCATGTGAGAAATGAAGCAATGACAATTGATGATGTTTTGGGTGAACCAATACCTTTTGACCAGCAAAAAACAATGCGAGAAGCCTGTTATCATGCACTCAAGTTGGGTGTAGGGGTAGGCACTCAAATCCAGTGCTTTGAGTTATGCTTTGTATATTAAGATGTAATGTCAATATTTTATTACTTCTCCTTCTTCATGATGTTGCTGTCATTATATTCTGATTAATTTATTTCTGGCAATGTCCTCAGGGTAGAGGGAATTTACAATTTCCAGGGTCGCATCCTGTTTCGCTCAACAGGTTTGATTTAACAATATCCATATCAATGACAATTATGTACTTCTACTGGTTTGGACACAGTTTTTTTAAGCATTATAAACTGATGGTGGCCTTTTCAGATCAGTAATGTATTAAAATGGACTAAATATACAAGTGGATACTTTCAGTTTGTAATTAGGAAGTTCCTTAATGAATTTTCATCAAATTCTTTTTCAATGAGTGGACATCCAGTTTTCCTTTGCGTATTATAAATTCAGTTGTTCTAATTTTGGCATATAACTTTGCTAAGCTGTTTCCACATGCTTTGGTTTTGTTGTGAATAATACCTTAAATGAAATGGGTGGAAGTATTTTTTGCTGATACAGCTTATGTTGCTTCATCCTTCAAAGTGAACAAGGCCAACCATTTTTATGAGTAATTCCAAGATTTTACTTCTTAGGTGGTTCAGGCTAGAGTCTGATTGTTTCAGAAGATATTTGCCTGATATTGGTTTCCTGTTGTCCAAATAAATAAATAAAAGGGTTGTTATTCATTAATATTATTTAAGGCATACTATCATCATATTTAAAGGTACTTGGTTTATGGTTCATACAACACTAAAGTTTGCATATCATTATGTTCTCTGTAGGGACAACCAACAATTATTAAGGCAACGCTATTACTACGCCACATGGAAAGCTGATGGAACACGTTATATGATGCTAATTACTTGGGACGGCTGTTACTTGATTGATAGGAAATTTTGTTTCCGAAGGGTCCAGATGCGTTTTCCTTGCAAATTCTCAAATAAGGTGTGTATGTGCTTACGGTTTTGAGTTTTGACACATGGAACTCGCATAGTTTGATGTGAAGTATTTCAATAGATGACTCTTTTGTAATCATTTTTTGAAGGTTATACCTGAGAAGACTCACCACTTCACATTACTTGATGGAGAGATGATAATTGACACTGACCCAAATACTCATAAGCAAGAGAGAAGATACCTCATTTATGACGTCATGGCAATCAACCAACTCTCTCTCACAGAGGTTAGATATATGATAATGTCATGGGAATATATCTTGATAGTTCCCGTTCCCCCTCCACCCCCTCCTTTTTTTTTTGGATGGTTTATTTTCCAATCTCCGTGTTGCTGGCAGCCTCTTGCATTGGACTGGCCTTTTTATGGTGTAGTTTCCAATAGCAGTAGGCTTTACATAAATTTGCTGCTTGTGTATTAAAATAGATTTCTTCTTGTTCTGTGTGTGAGCATACTGAGCAGGTTTATAGGTTCTAAACTGAGGTTTTGAATGTTGGTCGTTCATATCCTTTCTGTGACACTATAGCTCCAAACATTTGATCCAAGGGTTACCTATTGACGCTTGTTATTCAGCCAATTTTTCTAAGGGTGGAGAAACATTATGGAGCAGATTTTCTGCTTCAAATGCTAGTCACATATGCATATTCCCTCTCCCTAAGATGGACTATCCTCATGTTTTGTCAAGTATAATGTTTTCTGCTTAGGTTTCCTTCTTTTGACCCCCACTTTTGATATCACAGCATGTCATCTTTTATTAGACTTATAATGAATTCGTTATAAAATACTTCAATTTATTAATAAGTTGATATCTAAAAATGGTCCAGTTGCCATTCCATGAACGGTGGAAAATGCTTGAAAAAGAAGTGATTGAGCCTCGAAATATGGAACGTGATACTCTTTCCAAGAGTCCAGAGCCTTATTACAGATATGACTTGGAACCATTCAGTGTATGTATCTCGACAATCGAAGATTACACTAAATGTTTTGATTCCTTTTAACCATTAATGTTTCTAGTTGCATATTCCGTCATGGTTGGTGTTTTACTTTGTTATAGATGTTCATCAGGTGAGGAGGAAGGGTTTTTGGTTACTGTCTACTGTTACGAAACTTTTGAGGAAATTCATTCCTGGGCTTTCACACGCATCTGATGGTCTGATATTCCAGGTGATTAAGATTTTGGAGCCCTTCACAGTGAGCAAGTTCATTATGTGGTTATATTGTCCTATACTTCATTATGTGCTGATGATCCGTCTTTTTCAGGGCTGGGATGATCCATATGTACCCCGCACACATGAAGGTCTTTTGAAGTGGAAATTTCCTGAAATGAATTCAGTTGATTTTCTCTTTGAGGTTGTATGATTGCTTTTCTTTTCAGACTGTAACACGTCTCAATTTTAATTTAGTTTCATTTGCTGCAAATTACAGTGTTCTGTTCAACTCTCTTCTCTGTTTACTTATACCATGATGATAACCTAAAAATAGTTTGTGTTGACAGTTAGGAGTTGATGGTCGGGAACTACTTTTTCTGAATGAGCGTGGAAAGAAGAAGCTAATGGGAGGCTATCGGGTGGTTTTTAAAGGTCGCATTTTGATACTTATATATTTGTTTCATATTTACCATCATATTTATGTTGACAAATTATGATCAAGAATTTGTAGGCACCTGATTGTGTTGATTTAATTTTAACTTAGCTCGGAATCTAATACCGTGATATTACGAAATCCACCTGCAGATGAGCTCGACCCTGCTCTTTGTTCAGGGAAAATTATTGAGTGCTCCTGGGATGGGGAGGGGAATGTATGGGTGTGCATGCGGACTAGGCCAGACAGATCAACCCCAAATGAGTTCAATACCTATAAGAAGGTATTTTTTATATCCTGTACCAGTTAACGTTCTTGTTTTTTTTCTTCCTCTTTTCTCTAAAACGTGTGTTTGTTTTGGAGTAATTAATGAAGCTGTGTTTCTCATCTGAAACAGGTAATGCGAAGCATAAAGGATAATATCACGGAGGAAGTTTTGTTGAAGGAGATAGATCAGATTGTCCGGCTACCCATGTATGCTGACCGGATACGGAACGATATTAAGGCCCATGAGCACAATTCTTCTTCCCGGCGCCGGTGATTGTGGTACTCAAATAAGCATATTTCCAATTAGAGGTCACAAGAAATGGGGATAGCAAATTCAGTGTAACCTTCCCCAATGATGTAGTTTATGTTATGTTTTTGTCATATCAGGTCAGGGATGCCACTATCGATTTGTATCATTATCAGCAAAAGGATCATAGTTTTTTCCTTGCTATGGATCCCATGGTGTATATTAGCAACGTCTTAATCCAATTAATTCATTCATTCATTGGTTATTCTCGATCATTGGGCCGTTTTATCGTTTTAGTTTGTACGGCATTTTTGTAATAACACCATATCATCTTTTGTTTTTGTTTTTTATTTTGAGAAAAACAAACAACGGTAAATCCATGCCCCATTAGGAAAGACTCTCCTTATATATATCCTGCACTGTCTAGACCACTATGCGTGCTTTGCAAAGCTTTTCAAGGATCCTTTAAGAAGAGTAGCTACGGCTTTGTGTTGTTTCATTAGAAATAAAAAAAAATCTCTCACAAACACAATGGTGAAAAAGTCAGAAAAACCGAGAGAAGGTGAGGAGCAGTCCAAAAATTTGACGAAGCCAATGTCGTTTCCATCCAAGTCTTCGATCAACAAAAAGAGGAAATCAAAGTCGACGGAGAAGAACGATGAGGGTTATGTCGATGATGATATTTTTGTTGATCTTGAGGATTTAATGCCAGACTTGTTCAAGTCTTTGGAGCATGAGCAGGTTGCTAGTAATTGCACATCTACAGTAATCGATCCAATTCCCCAGTCAGGCAATAATTATGATTTTTTCACTCTAGCAGATATTGAAAATATGTTTGAGGATGATTTGAGCAACATTAATGTTGATGGTAATTATTTTATAATTACCAATAATGATGATAATAATGGCCCCTCCATCAACAATGTTGACGCGGCGGTGACGGCGCATGTGACCGGAGTTGAGGAACATGAGACGACAAGCTTTGAGGCAAATGACAACTTTGTTATTGATTATTTAATGGATATGTTGGATAATTGCGATGACAGTGAGGGTGGCAAAAATTACGATGGTGACGATGGCAGCGAAGATGATGACAACGATGATGATGATGATAGCGGCAAAGATGACAACATCGGATACGATAGTGACGATGGTAGCGACGACGACGATGGCGGCAGTCCTCTATTGCCAAGCTGCGATGTTGATCAATTATTTGAACAATATATTGTTTTCGCTTAATTAAAGTATTGTGTTCAATTTCTATATATGAAAAAAAAATAAAAAAATTAGAATTCTCTTTTATCTTTTTAGTGATCCAATTTCAAATGAAATTTGTTATCTTATTGTTGATTTCAACATTTAAAGAAATTTCGACAGATAGTATGGATCAAAATTTTGGTTAATTTTTTTATTCTTAATTAAATTGGCTATTAATTAATTCTTCAGGAAAAGAAATTTTTGACTATCAATTAAACATTCACGTGGTTCTTGATAATAGACATATCTTACTAATTTGGTGCTTATGATTCAATCCAATGCATCCAAATCAATATATACAATTTAATTTTGATTAATGAATTGGGTTCTTAAGTTCTTAAACAAATATTATTGGATTGATTTTTAAATTTCAAAACCGACTATGACGAATTAACTTGTGAGAATTCAATCTAATTAATTTGTTTTTCCCACAATTAAAGAAAAAAAGAAAAAGGAAAGAACCACAGCCGGCTTAAGCAATTAATGAAGCAATAACCGCAATTAACAAGAACGGGCAACACTAGTACTTTCCTACTTGAGGGACACTCAAACTTGGTGACGTGGACTAAAGACAAAAGCTAGTGACGTTGTATTCCAGATTTCTTTCCTTTCTGGAGCTCAAGAAATCAATATTTTATTTGCTCTGTTTCCTGAAGACGACGAAGCTTTGCTCCGTACATCATATTGACCCACTTCCATCAGGAAAATCAAAGACAGAATTTGTTTTCCAAGATTCACCAGAGAAACCCAAGTTCTCTAGCTTCCTATATATTTGTTGCAAGCTTTTCCTTCTCAATTAACTTCTCTTCCTACTAGCCAATATTGTGTGTTGTCCGCCAACCTCTGTGTGTGTGTTTTTCTTCTTCTTCTGGTTCTTGAATGGCGGATTCAATGGCCAGAAAAGGTGAGGACCGCAAACGCAAACGGTGTGAAAGTAGTCCGTCGACAGAAGAGACTTCAGCAATGCCGAGCTCGAAGAGGCATGCGACACTGCACAGGAAAGCAGAGAGGCTTGAAGAACTCCATGCTAAGGTTTGCATTGTTTGTTACAATCCGAATGGTGGCAATTTTTCGTTGTGGCCAAAGGACCCGGCCAAGGCCAGAGAAATCATCACGGAGTTCCGAGAACGTAAGAAAACCAGATCGTCGTCAGGTGGAAGAAAGAAAGAGGTCAGGATTTCGGATTTGTTGGGAAGAAACTTGAAAAAGAAGCGGAAAGGAAAAAAGAAGGGTTTTGATGAGAAAGAGAACCTGAAGCTTGGTAAGATTATAGAGGCTTTGAAGAACAATATACAAACTTTGGAAGAGAATATTAATTCTTCTTTCGAGGGAAGAAAAACAAAAACTATTCAGCCATATATATGTGGTGAAGAGAGCACGGCAGCATTGTTGGAACCAAAGAGTTGTAATTTCAACGACGACGGCCCAACTTTGCCGATATCCGGAGGTAATTTTTACGACGATAATATCGAATTTCGTTATGGATTTGACACGAATGGTATTTGTGGTAATGCTAATTTGGAGCCTGGTTACAATAATGGAGACTTTGGATTAGTTAAGCCGGAGAATTTTGGTGGGGTTGATACTTATAATTATACCTCTGCTCCATTGGGGTCTTATTCTTCTGCAACCTCAAGCTGCTGGGTCGACATGCTGCAAGGAAGAAACACATCAATGATATCTCCACTTAATGAGGCATGGTTGTGGCCTCCTCAGCCTTTGCAATCTCAGATGATCAATGATCACAACAACCATACAAATATGCCTAACTTGTTTTGATCCCCCCCTGACACCGTCAAGTGCTGTAGCACTTAATTTTAAGTTTCTAGCTTAATTTCAGTTTATTAATTAATTGTAACATGAGAAGCTTTTTCCTATTATTAACTCCATGTTTAGAAAGATTATCCATAATTTCAGTTTTTTTTTTTCCTACACCTTGTCAATCTTTTAGCTTGGGGATCAATGATCATGAGTATTTACTATATACGATGTATATTCTAATTCGTTTATTGTTGGTCGTTTAATTCCCTTTTCAATGCAAAGAACCCACTAGTGTAGTGAATTGGAAACAATTTCTCCACCAGGAAAGCTTATGGGGTTCAAGTTCTAGCATTAATTTAGTATAATAACTTCCCTCTCAATAGGAAAGCTCTTTAAAAAAAACCATTTTCAATAAATTAGGATAATTTAGATTATAGTTTAAACATTAAAGAAACACATCACATTATTTTTTTGGATATTGTCATTATGTCTTCACAAAAATACCTTCTAATTTATAACAAAAATTCAAAAAATTATTAAGCACACCAAATTTCTGATAAAACTCATAAGCCAAATTTGAAATTATAGAAGGTTGCGGCCAACATCCTATTGGCCACTTATTAACACTGAATTATTCAATATATGAAGTGTATATAATAAGATCATCATTTAATTAAGTTGATAATTAATTGGTGGAGGTGAAGTTGAAGTTGGAGCATGTGGTTTGTCTAAACAGAAGAGAGGAGCTGAAGCCCAGCCTCGACGTGGCCAAATCGAATTGCAGCAGATTGTTCTCCAACTGGTACCCTCCGATCACAACCGAAGTCCTTGGGCTCTCACCGCCATTCACAACGGCAAGGCACAGAACGTCGTCGTTCACCTGCACCATCGAGTTGGCCCCGAACACCCTCCAGAACGTGCTCTCGTTCTGCAGCACAAGGTCAATGCTCGGCACGGCCGGCCCCACACGTGTGCTCAGCACGTTGTCCCGGCTGAAGCACACCTCGAAGGGGCCTACAGAGGACACTCTGGTAATGTTCATGGATTTAGACTCGCTGATAAAAGCCTCGGTTACGGCTTTGAAAATGGAGGCCTCGAGGACCGTGTAGGGGTTGACGGTGCTGATCTTGGTCCCACCCACGCCGTCGCGGTCGATCGACAGCAGTGTCGTGTTGACAGCGACGGATTTCTCGTTGACCTTGATGGAGTTGACTTTGATGAAGTATTCGGACGAGGCTTCCCCTTGGGAGAAGGCGGAGGCCGTGCTGACTGGATTTATGAAGAGCGGGGTGTAGATTAATGACTCTGAAACGTCGACGTTTGGGAGCATGACGTACGGGCCGTCGCCGAAGAACACGACGCCGTTTGATGACACGGAGGAAGACAAGCAGATGGCGAATTTCCTGTCGAAGCTGAAGGCGGATGCGAATTGGGAAGGGAGAGATATTCTGGTGCGGCCGAGACCAGCCATCCCCGACACACCCGCGGCGAGGCCTTCTAATAGGAACGTTGGCGCGCAAGTGAAGAGGAACTGCGAAACGCTGACGTTTCGGCCGGGGTTGAACCCGTTGGTTGACGGGACCGAGACGACGTCGTACGCAAGTTCACCGCCTGTGGCCGTGCGCGTGACGGTGTTGTCGGGGGAGAGGCCGCAAGTGTTGTTGTTGCAGCCAGGTTTCGGGGATGAGAAGCAATCGCCGCAGCCGCTGGCTCGTGCGAGTGAGCATTGAGCTGAGCGGCAACGAGCTGGGCGGTACGTGGAGGACACATAGTTTTGTTCGCAGTCGACCCATAAAAACTGGCCACCTAGATCAAGGACGAGGTTTACGGGCACAAGAGGGGTCCTTTGGGTAATATGTGTGGTGTATTGGAGGGTAGAAGCGTCTTTTGAGACTGGGATGACGAGGGCTTTGGGCCTGAAAGATTGCTGAGCCAAAACGGGAGAGGCATTGAAGAAGAGGAGGAGAAGGGTAGAGATAGAGAAGAAGAGGCAATATTGAGTAAAGGAAGCCATGGTTATGGTTGGATGGTTGAGTTGAGGGAAAGGTCTATTTATAGTTGTTGAGGTGGGCATAAATAAACGTGGCTGTGTATGCATATATGTCATGGGGGTGTTGAATTAATAACAAAGAAACAGTTTTATATATGCATGAATGCTGAAAATGAGACTGGTCCCTAAATGTAGATATACATATGCGAGGAGGATAAGGCACCGACAGCCTTAATGTCAGTGTTTGCTGCGTGGTTTCTATGCATCTAGTAGTTCAATCAAGGAGGCAAGCTGACCTTGTGAGTTTCGTCGACATTAATTGACTTCTAATACATCACATCATCACTCGTCTATGTGATTGATTTTTGAATCCAAATGGGAGATTATCACTTTTAACATTGAGAAAAGATGTACTTGGGGAAGATTGCATATTTTTGAGAAGTGATTTGTTCGGAGTAGTCTCAAAAGACATAAGTGAATGAATTATCATGTATCTTGATGGTTGAACGAAGTAATCTCAATCGTTTAAATCATATATATCTTATAATTTTTGACTGGTATGGATCTTCAAACAAGTTAAGAGTATAGAGGGATGCTTGCTTGCATTGCCAAGAATTGTTCTTCCATATCCAACTTAATTTTTAATTATTAAGGAATTCTATTGTTGTAGCTGACTTTGAAATGATGAATAATTAATTTATTGACTGGTTTCTTAAATTATAGAATCAGATACGTATATACTTCATTTTCGATCTAATTGTGTTGCAAAGATAACTTTTTTTTATAGACGAAAGAAAAGAAAAAGATTAACAAAGTCAGTGCATATCTTTGTGTTGACCGCTGAAAGTGAAAGTCAAAAGATGTAACCTTCTGGATATTGTAAGTAAATTGTAAAAGGATCAAAGAGGTTATAATACAATTGACCTTGATCATCATAAGAATTACAGCATTCATAGGGCTAAGGTGGACTGGGACAAGGCGTTGTAATTTGTACCAGACCTTTTGCCAGCAGCAATCTATCTGAAAACACAAGAAAGCTTTCGTACGCACCAAATTCACCTTCTTATGGATGCTATTTCAAGTTTTAACATATGTTATTAACCAAGTTTGATGCAATGTTGGGCGGATGATAAGGTACCTGTTTTCATAGCTGAAATTGCACCTGAAAATCTTCGAGGAAGACTAACTGCTATAAACCAGGTAAACATGTAATCAGAAATGCAATCCTTGAAGCTAACTGGCAACAATCTTTATACCTATATGGCTTTTGATTTGATCATAACTAACTTTGCCTTTTGCTTATTTTATAGTTAATGATCGTTACTAGAGTGTCTGTCTCCTTCATCATTGGGGTAGTAGTAAGTTGGAGGGCTTTAGCAACAATCGGTGAATTTCTTAGACAACTTGTGTTTTTAATTAGAATATCCACGTGAGGAAAGTTCCCGACTCTGCTGGGCTGAGCGCTTGGTGAGAAGTCCAGAAATCCTTCACAGTCAAAACATCAAACACTTGAAAAAAAAGAGAAGGTGGGCGCAGAGGAGAGCTTGATTCTTTGGAGCTGTTGAGCTGTTGTGGCGGCGGTGGACATGTATAGCCGGTCGGCTATACTCGTTAAATATATATATATTTATTTCGAGAGTATAGCCGCTCGGCCATACTAGTTAAATAAAAAAATTATTTAAATTGTCACGCCGTGCGGCTAGACTCTATAAATGTAATTTTTTTATTTCAGGCGTATAGCCGTACGGCTAGACTCTATAAAAATAATTTTTTTATTTCAGGCTTATAGCCGAACGGCTATACTATGTAAATATATTTTTTATTTCAGGAGTATCGCCAGTCGGCTATAAGCTGTAAATATATTTTTTTATTGCAGGCATACAGCCGCGCGACTGTCCTCTACATTTTTTACTTACTACGATACAGTTGCATGGTAATCTCTTCTCCCCTTTGTAACCCAAAAAACGAGGTACTGGTATATTTCTCTCTTCTTTCAAATTGCAAAGAGTCAAGTCTGGAAGCAGTTGATTTCTTCTTGTAAGCTCTTTTTGTGCTCTGTTTCTTTTGTGGATGGTGGGGCCAACCCAAGGTCTTCCGTTGTGATCGGAAGGCATCAGATGGAGGATAGTATTCTGATCTATGAACTAAAAAAGATATATATATATTTTTTTTTAAAAGAAGCTTGTACCCTGAAATTTTGACAGAAATCTCCTCAGCTTCTCTTGACACTTGTGGCATTCTACGTTTATTTTCGTAATGTCTGGCTGCAATGATATATAGATAGTTGAAGGAGACTAAGGGTAATAATGGAAACAAATTACAAGAGCTAAATGAATGAGAAAAGTACCTGAGAACAGTCAGCATAGGCCATTGAAATTAGCCCTGGAATTAGGAATGGTAGATATCTCAGATGTGTTGCAGTTTGATTTGAAGGTATGAGAGAAAGAAGGGTATTTAAACATGCAAACGTATCCTGTGTCTTAAATTGGGTATAATTTCTTGATTGAGTGTATTAATTAATGATTTTCAAACATGCAGACAGCTTTTAAGTTGAAGGCAAATATTTGAACACATGTTTTGCAGAATCTCAAAAATTCACGTGGACAAAATATTTGCATAAAGAGGGAAGGATTTGAATCCCAACAAATGGCTAAAATCCAGTCAGAAGATTTGTTTGCTTTGAATTACCATATTTAACCTTTCAAGATGCCAAGATGGAGAATACAGAATGCTGGTTCACAATAATCAAAACAAATAGCTCGAATATTAATATTTATTCAAATGTAATGGGGGGTTTTGTTTTGTCTTCCACCAATTGAGTCATTTACTTCAAATTTTTGTACTTGGCAAACTTCAAACTAAGACAGTTCCTTCCATGACAGTAACAGCTTTCCCTCGCAGCAGCACCCTTTGATTCTGCTCATCTAGATGCATGCTTACTGCTCCGCCTCGACGGGATGCCTGAAAGTAAACTATAATGTATCAAACATACGAGGAGAACAAGTAAAGCTATGATAAGATCAGAGAGAGAGGGAGAGAGTACCGCATATGCAAAAACATCAGACTTCCCCAGTTTTTTGCACCAGTATGATGCTAAGGCACAATGTGCGCTCCCACAAACAGGATCCTGAAAGATATAAACAAGTAACACTAACACCATTCAGCCTTGTATCAATTTTAGTTCATAAGTCGGATATATTCCAGTTATTCCTTGAGTACAGCATAACTGAAAACTGACATAAACCAAACAGCAAAAGACACACGAAAAGGTTCCAAGCAGGTTATTCAAATGGTTTAAATCCACCTTAGCAGAAAAAGAAAAAGGAGGTGGGATTATAAATCCAGATACATAATCTTCACATTTAGCATAGCAAAGCTCAAAAAAAAAAAAAATGCAACAAACTTGGGTTCCCAATATCAGGCACTTGAAAGAAACTTGATCAGAAAATAAATTAAAGCTGCTTACTTCATCAATCCCATATTTAGGGCAGAAGAATCTACTGTAAAAATCATATTCAGACTCTGGAGGAGCAATCCCTGTTACAATCACTCCCCTAGACCCTGGACATTTTTGGATTGCATCAAACTTTGGCTGTAAATCTGCAACAGTTTTTGCTGATGGAAGCACAACCTGAAAATTGAAACAAGTCCTCATTTAAGAGTACATCTAGAATCCATAGATAAGCCAAATAAATAAAGGCATAATCCATCAAAAACAAAAAGTAAGAAGCTTATATCGATGGTAAGCATAATATATAGAGATTTTCTGGAAGGGTTGCAGGATTTACAAGCAGATCGTCGGTGACATGTGTCTTCCTTATGTCAACCATAGAAGCACCATCCAAGGCCTCGGAGATCACTGAAACCTCACTAGAGTTGAATTCATAAGATGGGGCGGCAGGAAAATTCAGTTCAATGAAATAGGAGTTTTGTGCTTCACCATTTTGAATATTATTTGAACCATTGGCTTTCTTAACATCTGGAACCTTTTTAGCTGTTAGGATTCCAGATAATGTAGCAAACTCAATAAAGTTGGAATTTATTAAACCAGACTTAAAGAGAGTGTATGCAGCCGCTAATGTTGCATGACCACAAAGCTCAACCTGCAAAAGGGCATCAATTTTTCAAGCTTGATTTACTTTTCTAAGATATCAAATTTGCTAATAGTAGTGCCTGGTATGCATACTCTACTTTATGCATCAGTGACAAAATCAAGGCATCAAATTATCAAATACCAGTTAAACACATCAAATCCAGGGAAACTGGAGTTTAAAAAGTTTACTTTTTTAAATAAACCCATACATTAAAGGGGGTTTCACTAAAACACCCAAAATGAAGGCTGAAATTATAAAAAAACCCAACACCCAAAACACTTTATAAACACACCCAAAACCCATCATTACACACACTCAAAACCTATTTATAAACACACCCAAAAAATATACAATTGTTGATTTTGGGGTTGAGTTTGGGTGTGTTTCTATGTTTAAATAGTGTTAGGATTTTTTTATAGGGAGTTTCACTAAAACACCCAAAATGGAGGTTAAAATTATAAAAAAACCCAACACCCAAAACACTTTATAAACACACCCAAAACCCATCATTACACACACTCAAAACCCATTTATAAACACACCCAAAAAGTTGACTTTGGGGTTGATTTTGGGTGTGTTTCTATGTTTAAATAGTGCTTGGGTTTTTTTATAAATACATGTCTAGGATTGGGTTTATTTATAAATTTGTATTTTTTATAAATACATGTCTAGGATTGGGTTTATTTATAAATTTGTATTGAAAAAAAAGAGAAGGTGGGCGCAGAGGAGAGCTTGATTCTTTGGAGCTGTTGAGCTGTTGTGGCGGCGGTGGACATGTATAGCCGGTCGGCTATACTCGTTAAATATATATATATTTATTTCGAGAGTATAGCCGCTCGGCCATACTAGTTAAATAAAAAAATTATTTAAATTGTCACGCCGTGCGGCTAGACTCTATAAATGTAATTTTTTTATTTCAGGCGTATAGCCGTACGGCTAGACTCTATAAAAATAATTTTTTTATTTCAGGCTTATAGCCGAACGGCTATACTATGTAAATATATTTTTTATTTCAGGAGTATCGCCAGTCGGCTATAAGCTGTAAATATATTTTTTTATTGCAGGCATACAGCCGCGCGACTGTCCTCTACATTTTTTACTTACTACGATACAGTTGCATGGTAATCTCTTCTCCCCTTTGTAACCCAAAAAACGAGGTACTGGTATATTTCTCTCTTCTTTCAAATTGCAAAGAGTCAAGTCTGGAAGCAGTTGATTTCTTCTTGTAAGCTCTTTTTGTGCTCTGTTTCTTTTGTGGATGGTGGGGCCAACCCAAGGTCTTCCGTTGTGATCGGAAGGCATCAGATGGAGGATAGTATTCTGATCTATGAACTAAAAAAGATATATATATATTTTTTTTTAAAAGAAGCTTGTACCCTGAAATTTTGACAGAAATCTCCTCAGCTTCTCTTGACACTTGTGGCATTCTACGTTTATTTTCGTAATGTCTGGCTGCAATGATATATAGATAGTTGAAGGAGACTAAGGGTAATAATGGAAACAAATTACAAGAGCTAAATGAATGAGAAAAGTACCTGAGAACAGTCAGCATGGGCCATTGAAATTAGCCCTGGAATTGAAATTAGCCCTGAGAACAGTCAGCATGGGCCATTGATTGAGTGTATTAATTAATGATTTTCAAACATGCAGACAGCTTTTAAGTTGAAGGCAAATATTTGAACACATGTTTTGCAGAATCTCAAAAATTCACGTGGACAAGATATTTGCATAAAGAGGGAAGGATTTGAATCCCCTCAAATGGCTAAAATCCAGTCAGAAGATTTGTTTGCTTTGAATTACCATATTTAACCTTTCAAGATGCCAAGATGGAGAATACAGAATGCTGGTTCACAATAATCAAAACAAATAGCTCGAATATTAATATTTATTCAAATGTAATGGGGGGGTTTTGTTTTGTCTTCCACCAGTTGAGTCATTTACTTCAAATGTTTGTACTTGGCAAACTTCAAACTAAGACAGTTCCTTCCATGACAGTAACAGCTTTCCCTCGCAGCAGCACCCTTTGATTCTGCTCATCTAGATGCATGCTTACTGCTCCGCCTCGACGGGATGCCTGAAAGTAAACTATAATGTATCAAACATACGAGGAGAACAAGTAAAAATATGATAAGATCACAGACACAGAGAGAGAGAGAGAGAGAGAGAGAGAGAAAGAGTACCGCATATGCAAAAACATCAGACTTCCCCAGTTTTTTGCACCAGTATGATGCTAAGGCACAATGTGCGCTCCCACAAACAGGATCCTGAAAGATATAAACAAGTAACACTAAGTAACACTATTCAGCCTTGTATCAATTTTAGTTAATAAGTCGGATATATTCCAGTTATTCCTTGAGTACAGCATAACTGAAAACTGACATAAACCAAACAGCAAAAGACACACGAAAAGGTTCCAAGCAGGTTATTCAAATGGTTTAAATCCACCTTAGCAGAAAAAGAAAAAGGAGGTGGGATTATAAATCCAGATACATAATCTTCACATTTAGCATAGCAAAGCTCAAAAAAAAAAAAAATGCAACAAACTTGGGTTCCCAATATCAGGCACTTGAAAGAAACTTGATCAGAAAATAAATTAAAGCTGCTTACATCATCAATCCCATGTTTAGGGCAGAAGTATCTACTGTAAAAATCATATTCAGACTCTGGAGGAGCAATCCCTGTTACAATCACTCCCCCAGACCCTGGACATTTTTGGATTGCATCAAACTTTGGCTGTAAATCTACAACAGCTTTTGCTGATGGAAGCACAACCTGAAAATTGAAACAAGTCCTCATTTAAGATACATCTAGACTCCATAGATAAGCCAAAAAATAAAGGCCTAAGCATAATATATAGAGATTTTCTGGAAGGGTTGCAGGATTTACAAGCAGATCGTCGGTGACATGTGTCTTCCTTATATCAATCATAGAAGCACCATCCAAGGCCTCGGAGATCAATGAAACCTCACTAGAGTTGAATTCATAAGATGGGGCGGCAGGAAAATTCAGTTCAATGAAATAGGACTTTTGTGCTTCACCATGTTGAATATTATTTGCACCATTGGTTGTCTTAACATCTGGAACCTTTTTAGCTGTTAGGATTCCAGATAATGTAGCAAACTCAATAAAGTTGGAATTTATCAAACCAGACTCAAAGAGAGTGTATGCGGCCGCTAATGTTGCATGACCACAAAGCTCAACCTGCAAAAGGGTATCAATTTTCCAAGCTTGATTTACTTTTCTAAGTAGTGCCTAGTATGCATACTCTACTTTATGCATCAGTGACAAAATCAAGACATCAAATTATCAAATACCAGTTAAGCACATCAAATCCAGGGAAACTGGAGTTAAACAAGTTTACTTCTTTAAATAAACCCATACACTAAAAGGCTAAAAGGAACCATCTTTTTTACTGAATTCATGATTGTTAAAGATTTTGACACACTCAAATCTTTTCCCTGAATTTCACACTTCAATTCAACCTTGTTATTAAGAACTAAAAACAAACAAAACTATAAAAATCGATCCTTTTTTTTTTTTAATGAACAGGGGGTATAAAGATCTATCCTTTTGATTTTGTGAAATCAAACACTAATTGAACAGAAGGTGAGCTAAGACCTCATTGGAAGGCGTGAACCATCTGAGACCAAACCTAGGAGCAGAAGTAGGCGTGGAATCGGTGACCCGAGTCAGATAACAAGTCTCGGATAGTTTGAACTCGGAGGCCACGGCCTGCAACCACTGGTCGTCTTTATCTTCTTCTAACAAGCAAACCGCTGCTGGGTTTCCCTTGAAAGCTGATTCAGTGAAGGCATCCACCTACACACACACAACACAACCATTTCAGCACTCAATTTCTTAACAATCTGCTTGAGCGCAACGCATTACATACAGAAGAGAGAGATTTGAGTACCACGGAGTATTTCACTGGTTTCTTCGCCATGGAAGATTGAAATTTGATTATGCAGCAGAATACAGCAGAAGCAAAGAGAGTCACTCAACTCAACAACATCGCGGTCAGCCGGCGGCTGGTCTAAATGTCAGTGTATGTTTTTTTCGTTTCGAGTAGGGTCCACTTGATTTTCCGACCGCCTAACCATCACCTACTTTGACTGTGGGGCCAGAACATATCCTGTAAATATATTTTTTTATTGCAGGCATACAGCCGCGCGACTGTCCTCTACATTTTTTAATTTCAGGATTATAGCCGACCGGCTATACTAGTTAAATATATATATATATATATTTTTATTTAAGAAGTATAGCCGCGCGGGAATACTCCTTAAATACAGATATTTTTTATTCAAGGCATATAGCCGGACGGCTATACTATTAAAAATATTTTTTTATTAAGGGAGTGCGGCCGGGCGGATATACTCTTCAAATATATTTTTTTATTTCAGGAGTATAGCCGGTCGGCTATACTATCTAAAATATATTTTATTTCAGGGGTATAGCCGAACGGCCGTACGCTTTAAATACATATTTTTTGTTCATGGGTTATAGCCGGTCGGCTATACGCTTTAAATATATATATATATATATATATATGAACTAAAGGCATATAGCCGGTCGGCTGTACTGTTTAAACATAACGCACATCTCAAGTACATCCTAAGAATTCTAGCTAAACCGGCATACTTACTACGATACAGTTGCATGGTAATCTCTTCTCCCCTTTGTAACCCAAAAAACGAGGTACTGGTATATTTTTCTCTCTTCTTTCAAATTGCAAAGAGTCAAGTCTGGAAGCAGTTGATTTCTTCTTGTAAGCTCTTTTTGTGCTCTGTTTCTTTTGTGGATGGTGGGGCCAACCCAAGGTCTTCCGTTGTGATCGGAAGGCATCAGATGGAGGATAGTATTCTGATCTATGAACTAAAAAAGATATATATATATTTTTTTTTAAAAGAAGCTTGTACCCTGAAATTTTGACAGAAATCTCCTCAGCTTCTCTTGACACTTGTGGCATTCTACGTTTATTTTCGTAATGTCTGGCTGCAATGATATATAGATAGTTGAAGGAGACTAAGGGTAATAATGGAAACAAATTACAAGAGCTAAATGAATGAGAAAAGTACCTGAGAACAGTCAGCATAGGCCATTGAAATTAGCCCTGGAATTAGGAATGGTAGATATCTCAGATGTGTTGCAGTTTGATTTGAAGGTATGAGAGAAAGAAGGGTATTTAAACATGCAAACGTATCCTGTGTCTTAAATTGGGTATAATTTCTTGATTGAGTGTATTAATTAATGATTTTCAAACATGCAGACAGCTTTTAAGTTGAAGGCAAATATTTGAACACATGTTTTGCAGAATCTCAAAAATTCACGTGGACAAGATATTTGCATAAAGAGGGAAGGATTTGAATCCCAACAAATGGCTAAAATCCAGTCAGAAGATTTGTTTGCTTTGAATTACCATATCTGACCTTTCAAGATGCCAAGATGGAGAATTCAGAATGCAAAGTTCACAATAATCATAACAAATAGCTCGAATATTAATATTTATTCAAATGTAATGAGGGGTTTTGTTTTGTCTTCCACCAATTGAGTCATTTATTTCAAATTTTTGTACTTGGCAAACTTCAAACTAAGACAGTTCCTTCCATGACAGTAACAGCTTTCCCTCGCAGCAGCACCCTTTGATTCTGCTCATCTAGATGCATGCTTACTGCTCCGCCTCGACGGGATGCCTGAAAGCAAACTATAATGTATCAAACATACGAGGGCCCGGGAACAAGTAAAGCTATGATAAGATCACAGAGAGAGAGAGAGAGAGAGAGAGAGAGAGAGAGAGAGAGAGAGAGAGAGAGAGCACCGCATATGCAAAAACATCAGACTTTTCCAGTTTTTTGCACCAGTATGATGCTAAGGCACAATGTGCGCTCCCACAAACAGGATCCTGAAAGATATAAACAAGTAACACTAAGTAACACCACTCAGCCTTGTATCAATTTTAGTTCATAAGTCGGATATATTCCAGTTATTCCTTGAGTTCAGTATAACTGAAAACTGACATAAACCAAACAGCAAAAGACACACGAAAAGGTTCCAAGCAGGTTATTCAAATGGTTTAAATCCACTTTAGCAGAAAAAGAAAAAGGAGGTGGGATTATAAATCCAGATACATAATCTTCACATTTAGCATAGCAAAGCTGAAAGAAATATGCAACAAACATGGGTTCCCAATATCAGGCACTTGAAAGAAACTTAATCAGAAAATAAATTAAAGCTGCTTACCTCACCAATCCCATATCTGGGGCAGAAGAATCTACTGTAAAAATCATATTCAGACTCTGGAGGAGCAATCCCTGTTACAATCACTCCCCCAGACCCTGGACATTTTTGGATTGCATCAAACTTTGGCTGTAAATCTACAACAGCTTTTGCTGATGGAAGCACAACCTGAAAATTGAAACAAGTCCTCATTTAAGAGTACATCTAGACTCCATAGATAAGCCAAAAAATAAAGGCCTAATCCATCAAAAACAAAAAGTAAGAAGATTATATCAATGGTAAGCATAATATATAGAGATTTTCTGGAAGGGTTGCAGGATTTACAAGCAGATCGTCGGTGACATGTGTCTTCCTTATATCAATCATAGAAGCACCATCCAAGGCCTCAGAGATCAATGAAACCTCACTAGAGTTGAATTCATAAGATGGGGCGGCAGGAAGATTCAGTTCAATGAAATAGGAGTTTTGTGCTTCACCATTTTGAATATTATTTGCACCATTGGCTGTCTTAACATCTGGAACCTTTTTAGCCGTTAGGATTCCAGATAATGTAGCAAACTCAATAAAGTTGGAATTTATCAAACCAGACTCAAAGAGAGTGTATGCGGCCGCTAATGTTGCATGACCACAAAGCTCAACCTGCAAAAGGGTATCAATTTTCCAAGCTTGATTTACTTTCTAAGATATCAAATTTGCCAAAAGTAGTGCCTAGTATGCATACTCTACTTTATGCATCAGTGACAAAATCAAGACATCAAATTATCAAATACCAGTTAAGCACATCAAATCCAGGGAAACTGGAGTTAAACAAGTTTACCTTTTTAAATAAACCCATACGCTAAAAGGCTAAAAGGAACCATCTTTTTTACTGAATTCATGATCGTTAAAGATTTTGATACACTCAAATCTTTTCCCTGAATTTCACACTTCAATTCAACCTTGTTATTAAGAACTAAAAACAAACAAAACTATAAAGATCGATCCTTTTTTTTTTTTTTTTTTAAAAAAGCGGGGTAAAAAAGTTTTATCCTTTTCATTTTATAAAAACAAATCAAACACTAATTGAACAGAAAGTGAGCTAAGACCTCATTGGAAGGCGTGAACCATCTGAGACCAAACCTAGGAGCAGAAGTAGGCGTGGAATCGGTGACCCGAGTCAGATAACAAGACTGGGATAGATTGAACTCGGAGGCCACGGCCTGCAACCACTGGTCGTCTTTATCTTCTTCTAACCAGCAAACCGCTGCCGGGTTTCCCTTGAAAGCTGATTCAGTGAAGGCATCCACCTGCACACAACACATCAATTTCAACACTCAAATTCTTAACAATCTGCTTGAGCGCAACGCATTACATACAGAAGAGAGATATTTGAGTACCACGGAGTATTTCACTGGTTTCTTCGCCATGGAAGATTGAAATTTGATTATGCAGCAGAATACAGCAGAAGCAAAGAGAGTCACTCAACTCAACAACATCGCGATCCCGACCACCTAACCATCACCTACTACGATTGTGGGGCCAGAACGTATCCTGGTCTTTGTCCCTTGCCCAAGCCTAGACATAATTTATCAAACATATTGCATCATCATATTTGGAGGAGTCGGTGTGGTTTGTGACTGTTTCTCTTCTAGCAATAATTTTTCATAAGAAATTCAAAAGTATTGAGAGCACTTCTTTAGAAAGCGTTTTTGCGACCCAGAAGCACTTTTAAACTTTTTTTTTAAAGTGTCACAAAGTGTTTTTTTTCCTTAAAAACCACTCGTTCTAATAAAAGTGTTGCTATTTTCATTTTTAATCTTTCCTGTTTTTTGATTTTATAATACTTTCATTGGAGTAATGGGTTATGAGAGTACTTTCATTAACCCTTTATTTCCTTGCCAATAATAATTTCTGAAGAAAAACAAATTTGTAAATTATAATCACACGTCCTAAATTTACAATCAACTTCATTCGTTGACTGACGGATATAGTACAATTAGAAAATCTTTTCACGGAAAACAAACCTAGATAATTTACAGGAGCTAATAATCGGAGCAAAGTGACTTAATGATTTACATGATGCTGCTAACACACAAGGTTACTGACACCACAGCACGCCCAGCTTTTATTATACATTTTAAGTTAACCAAATGGAAATGGAATCACCACATTCCTTGCTTGGACATCTTCAAGAAATGGGATAGAGTGATATTTGGAAGTTCAATTGAACGCCCCTTTTTCTTTGTTATCTTTGTCACCTTAATTGCCTCCCCATTCTCTGATTCAGTAACCGTCACCGACACCAAGTTGTAGAACTGTTCAAAAACCAGTTTGTGCATATTAGATTTACTTCCAAGAAAGCTTTGATAAGAACTGAGTAACAATTTTACTACCTTCTAGTATCAGGTACTATTTCTTTTAGGTGGCGACTGATGTCATGCAAACCGAGTAATCCCGATGTGCGATAATTTTAAACGCATAGCTCCATAATGCATCATGAATGGTAAGTGAGAAAATGTACCTCACAAACACCAGGGAGCAACAATCGACGGAAGGGATCTTGAACCTGCAGGATGAGACCATCTCCATCTTCAGTCTCTCTCACAAAAGCCCTTATGCGCTCCTGAGAGGAAAAAGAAATTTTCTACTCAATATACAATAAAAGATTATGTTGGGTTACAATTTGATTTAAAGAAAGATGAACATGGAAACATGCATGCCAAAGATGGTTAAGATGGAAATGTGATGCCAAAACCTGTCTATACCAATAAAGGAAACCAACAAACAACAGAAAGAATTGCATTCACCTCATAGCACTCAATAAGCTCCGAAACAACACTACGACGAAGTGCCTGTCTTGTTCGAGAATCAATCCTTCGCCATGCATTTAACACAGCCATTTTATCAGCATCAACAGGACCCTTATTCTTTGCACAGGGGCTTATTGAGGAACCAATGATATTAGCCTGTCAAAGCGAAATAAAGGCTAGAGTCAGGGCATGCAACCAGGTAACATCTAAAAATGAACCATACTCACACACAAGGATACACATACTGATTGATAAATCAATAATTTCAGAAGGGCACATAATCAGCTACCTTAATGGTATCAAGACAGTTTAAATGCAACTCTAAAGGTTGGTCATTCATATGGCTACTCAAATAAATGAATTTAATTCTAGTAATAACTTCATAGCATCTTAAATCACCGGATTGCAAGGAATTAAAAGATTGAAACAAGTTTTCAGTGAATGAGAATGGCCGAAGGACCTGTTTGTCCATGTCTATATTCCTAAATGCGTCCCACTCTCGTACATTAGTCATGCAAAAAGGTGACAGCGGTACATCATCACCTGTACATTCAAACCAAACCCAATGTTGATATGAGATATATGGTAAAAATAGAAGTACTAATGGGTGAGCAATGCATCAAACAGTTATATCAAGAGATGTTTCTTTTAGCCAAATGAGTACCCCAAGGTGGTGGAGCAAACAAGCCTCTAATTTCTTCTGCATTTAGAAGAGGAACAAGTTCCATCAAAAGACGATCGTTTATCCATCTTTGAGACTGTTGGTTGCTTACCTGCCAAAGCAAAAAAAGTCATAATATGAATCAAATACAGAAAATAATTTCTCATTTTAGTAGAAGACTAGTCACTCTTCAAGCTCATAGTTTTTTGGAAGGATTAATGCAATCTATTGTGACAAAATAAATGATCGTACCAAAATCCTAATGATGAACTGTAACTCTAAATGAAACATAATGTATACTTCATTTTCGACTTGCAAAGATAACTTTTTTTAATAGACGAAAGAAAAGAAAAAGATTAACAAAGTCAGAGCATATCTTTGTGTAGACCGCTGAAAGTGAAAGTCAAAAGATATAACCTTCTGGATATGGTAAGTGAGTTGTAAAAGGATCAAAGAGGTTATAATACAATTGACCTTGAACATCATAAGAATTACGGCATTCATAGGGCTAAGGTGGACTGGGACAAGGCATTGCAATTTGTACCAGACCTTTTGCCAGCAGCAATCTATCTGAAAACACTTGAAAGCTTTCGTACGCACCAAATTCACCCTCTTATAGATGCTATTTCAAGTTTTAACATATGTTATTAACCAAGTTTGATGCAATGTTGGGCGGATGATAAGGTACCTGTTTTCATAGCTAAAATTGCACCTGAAAATCTTCGAGGAAGACTAACTGCTATAAACCAGGTAAACATGTAATCAGAAATGCAATCCTTGAAGCTAACTGCCAACAATCTTTATACCTATAAGGCTTTTGATTTGATCATATAACTAACTTTGCCTTTTGCTTATTTTATAGTTAATGATAGTTACCGGAGTGTCTGTCTCCTTCATCATTGGGGTAGTAGTAAGCTGGAAGGCTTTAGTAATAAGCAGTGAATTTCTCAGACAACTTGTGTTTTTAATTAGAATATCCACGTGAGGAAAGTTCCTAACTCTGCTGGGCTGAGCGCTTGGTGTGAAGTCCAGAAATGCTTCACAGTCAAAACATCAAACACTTGGTCGACAACACGATCGAAAATTCAAAACCATACCAAAACAAGGCAAAAAAAGAGAGAACATTTATTGCAATTAGTAGTTACCGAAGGAATTGGGGCTGTTGATCAGTGACAGAGGAGGTGGGTGCAGAGGAGAGCTTGATTCTTCGGAGCTGTTGAGCAATTGTGGCGGCGGGGGAAATGTATAGCCGTGCGGCTATACTCTTGAAATATATATTTTTATTTCAGGCGTATAGCCGATCGGCGATTCTATTTAAATACATTTTTTTTATTTCCCGAGTATAGCCGGACGGCTATTATAGTTAAATAAAAAAATGATTTAAATCGTAAAGCCGAACGGCTATATTCTGTAAATATAATTTTTAATTTCAGGAGTATAGCCGTACGGTTAGACTATAAATACAATTTTTTTTATTTCAGACGTATAGCCGTACGGCTAGACTCTATTGTAGTTTTTTTTGTTTAAGGTGTATAGCCGATCGGCTATACTATTAAAAATATTTTTTAATTAAAGGAGTATGGCCGCCAGGCTTGGCGCTGTAAATATATATATATTTTATGTCTAGAGTATAGCCGCGCGGCTACACGGTTTTCTTTTTACTAAATTCGTATAGCCGTGCGGCTGTACACTAAGCGAAACGCACATCTCAAGTACATCCTAAGAATTCTAGCCAAACTGGGATACTTATTATGATGATTTTATCGTTTTAATTTGAGTTATGTTTTTATATTTTCACAGGTTGTTTGTGATCTTAGAACTCTGAGTTCTATATGTTAACTACGATACAGTTGCATAGTAATCTCTTCTCCCCTTTGTAACCCAAAAAACGAGGTACTGGTATATTTTTCTCTCTTCTTCCAAATTGCAATGTTGATTTGAAAAAAGAGTCAAGTTGATTTCTTCTTGTAAGCTCTTTTTGTGCTCTGTTTCTTTTGTGGATGGTGGGGCCAACCCTAGGTCTTCCATTGTGGTCGGAGGGCATCAGATGGAGGATAGTTTTCTCCAATTTGATCTTGAATCCATGAGGTTGGGGTTTACCTCAACACTTTTGACCCAAGGAACCAAATGTGCCAACTTCAATTTTACTAATTCCAACAAAAATATTGTGCACTTGATTAGTATAATAATTAATCTTAGCCATAATATTATCTCAAATTTCAATCGCGATATGCCATATTATTATGTTAGTAATTATTAGAATGAATGAAGATTTCAGATAAATGAAATATTGTCACATCATTTGAAATTTGAGATTTTATTTTAATTTCTCGAGCATTACTCATTTTGGATTAAGCAATTAGTGAAACAAAATGCAAATATCATTGTTAATTCAGATAAAGAGAAAGGAAATTACAAAAGTTGTCACTCTAGTAGCTAGCTAACTAGTCTTATAGCAGAAACAACTTGATTGGTATTTTATTGTAGAAGTTCAATAGCTAATGAGAAGCATATATAGAAAAATCGATCAGTCATGGAAATTGGCAATGGAGATCTTGGGGATGATCACAAGATGGTGCATTTGCTTGCGATCACATCCTCACATCCGACCGCCGCATGTTTGACGGTCACGGCGGGCTCACGGAAGTTTGGAATCAAATATGTGTGTGAACCAATATTATTGCCCGCAGCTGCCGTCGGTACCCCATCAGAAGTATGAACATATTGAAATTCAAAGTTATGGTTGCTACCACCGTCAGAAGTACTCGTGGAACTGCTTCCTTCACCACCTTGATGATCTCCATGGTTGCTTGTGCAACAAGTTTTGTTTTTGGGCATTGCCGTATTTGCAGAGGGCCCAATATTATTAACATTGCTGCAGCTTCCTCCAACATGAGGCCCATCATCCTTGACTATATGAATCTGTTGATCCTGACCATCCATTTTGTGGTCATTGAAGAAGGTAAGCTTGATTCTTCTGTTGACCCCAGACTGGGTAAGTTCCAGCCTCCTTAGCTTGTGGAAGTTAGGCAATTTTTGGAGCTCTGCCATTTGAGCCCATCTTATAATCTCAAGCCCCTCTTGTGCTCCTCCATAACCATTGCCTGCTGCTGCTACATCGGAAATGTGGCTTCTGCTGGCATTGTGTTGCATGGCATTGTGCAGATGGGGTTGTGGCAGAGTATCCTCACACACAAGCCCAACTGCCTCTTTGAACACTTGCTTGTCTGCTGTAGATTCAACTGTTAGTCTTCCTGATTCCGCATCGAACTTAACAGAATAGGTTCCTAGGGGAAAAATTAAAAAGATAAATGAATTTTAATTCTGATATATGAACTAAAAAATATATTTAAAAAAGAAGAAGTTTGTACCCTGAAATTTTGACAGAAATCTCCTCAGCTTCTCTTGACACTTGTGGCATTCTACGTTTATTTTTGTAATGTCTGGCTGCAATGATATATAGATAGTTGAAGGAGACTAAGGGTAATAATGGAAACAAATTACAAGAGCTAAATGAATGAGAAAAATACCTGAGAACAGTGAGCATGGGCCATTGAAATTAGCCCTGGAGTTAGGAATGGTAGATATCTCCGATGTGTTGCAGTTTGATTTGAAGGTATGAGAGAAAGAAGGGTATTTAAACATGCAAACGTATCCTGTGTCTTAAATTGGGTGTAATTTCTTGATTGAGTGCATTAATTAATGATTTTCAAACATGCAGACAGCTTTTAAGTTGAAGGCAAATATTTGAACACATGTTTTGCAGAATCTCAAAAATTCACGTGGACAAGATATTTGCATAAAGAGGGAAGGATTTGAATCCCATCAAATGGCTAAAATCCAGTCAGAAGATTTGTTTGCTTTGAATTACCATATTTAACCTTTCAAGATGCCAAGATGGAGAATACAGAATGCATAGTTCACAATAATCAAAACAAATAGCTCGAATATTAATATTTATTCAAATGTAATGGGGGGTTTTGTTTTGTCTTCCACCAATTGAGTCATTTACTTCAAATTTTTGTACTTGGCAAACTTCAAACTAAGACAGTTCCTTCCATGACAGTAACAGCTTTCCCTCGCAGCAGCACCCTTTGATTCTGCTCATCTAGACGCATGCTTACTGCTCCGCCTCGACGGGATGCCTGAAAGTAAACTATAATGTATCAAACATACAAGGAGAACAAGTAAAGCTATGATAAGATCAGAGAGAGAGGGAGAGAGTACCGCATATGCAAAAACATCAGACTTTCCCAGTTTTTTGCACCAGTATGATGCTAAGGCACAATGTGCGCTCCCACAAACAGGATCCTGAAAGATATAAACAAGTAACACTAACACCATTCAGCCTTGTATCAATTTTAGTTCATAAGTCGGATATATTCCAGTTATTCCTTGAGTTCAGTATAACTGAAAACTGACATAAACCAAACAGCAAAATACACACGAAAAGGTTCCAAGCAGGTTATTCAAATGGTTTAAATCCACTTTAGCAGAAAAAGAAAAAGGAGGTGGGATTATAAATCCAAATACATAATCTTCACATTTAGCATAGCAAAGCTAAAAGAAATATGCAACAAACTTGGGTTCCCAATATCAGGCACTTGAAAGAAACTTGATCAGAAAATAAATTAAAGCTGCTTACTTCATCAATCCCATATTTAGGGCAGAAGAATCTACTGTAAAAATCATATTCAGACTCTGGAGGAGCAATCCCTGTTACGATCACTCCCCTAGACCCTGGACATCTTTGGATTGCATCAAACTTTGGCTGTAAATCTGCAACAGTTTTTGCTGATGGAAGCACAACCTGAAAATTGAAACAAGTCCTCATTTAAGAGTACATCTAGAATCCATAGATAAGCCAAATAAATAAAGGCATAATCCATCAAAAACAAAAAGTAAGAAGCTTATATCGATGGTAAGCATAATATATAGAGATTTTCTGCAAGGGTTGCAGGATTTACAAGTAGATCGTCGGTGACATGTGTCTTCCTTATGTCAACCATAGAAGCACCATCCAAGGCCTCGGAGATCACTGAAACCTCACTAGAGTTGAATTCATAAGATGGGGCGGCAGGAAAATTCAGTTCAATGAAATAGGAGTTTTGTGCTTCACCATTTTGAATATTATTTGAACCATTGGCTTTCTTAACATCTGGAACCTTTTTAGCTGTTAGGATTCCAGATAATGTAGCAAACTCAATAAAGTTGGAATTTATTAAACCAGACTTAAAGAGAGTGTATGCAGCCGCTAATGTTGCATGACCACAAAGCTCAACCTGCAAAAGGGCATCAATTTTTCAAGCTTGATTTACTTTTCTAAGATATCAAATTTGCTAATAGTAGTGCCTGGTATGCATACTCTACTTTATGCATCAGTGACAAAATCAAGGCATCAAATTATCAAATACCAGTTAAACACATCAAATCCAGGGAAACTGGAGTTTAAAAAGTTTACTTTTTTAAATAAACCCATACATTAAAGGGGGTTTCACTAAAACACCCAAAATGAAGGCTGAAATTATAAAAAAACCCAACACCCAAAACACTTTATAAACACACCCAAAACCCATCATTACACACACTCAAAACCTATTTATAAACACACCCAAAAAATATACAATTGTTGATTTTGGGGTTGAGTTTGGGTGTGTTTCTATGTTTAAATAGTGTTAGGATTTTTTTATAGGGAGTTTCACTAAAACACCCAAAATGGAGGTTAAAATTATAAAAAAACCCAACACCCAAAACACTTTATAAACACACCCAAAACCCATCATTACACACACTCAAAACCCATTTATAAACACACCCAAAAAGTTGACTTTGGGGTTGATTTTGGGTGTGTTTCTATGTTTAAATAGTGCTTGGGTTTTTTTATAAATACATGTCTAGGATTGGGTTTATTTATAAATTTGTATACATTAAAAGCCTAAAAGGAACCATCGTTTTTACTGAATTCATGGCCGTTGAAGATTTTGATACACTCAAAATCTTTTCCCTCAATTTCACACTTCAATTCAACTTTGTTATGAAGAACACCAACAAAACTATAAAGATCGATCCTTTTTTCTTTTCTTTTTTTATAATTTTTTTTAATGAACTGGGGGCATAAAGATATATCCTTTTGATTTTGTGAAATCAAACACTAATTGAACAGAGTGTAAGCTAAGACCTCATTGGAAGGCGTGAACCATCTGAGACCAAACCTAGGAGCTGAAGTAGGTGTAGAATCGGTGACCCGACTCAGATAACAAGTCACGGATAGATTGAACTCGGAGGCCACGGCCTGTAACCACTGGTCGTCTCTATCTTCTTCTAATAAGCAAACCGCTGCTGGGTTTCCCTTGAAAGCTGATTCAGTGAAGGCATCCACCTGCACACACACACAACACATCCATTTTTCAACACTCAAATTCTTAACAATCTGCTTGAGCGCAACGCATTACATACAGAAGAGAGAGATTTGAGTACCACGGAGTATTTCACTGGTTTCTTCGCCATGGAAGATTGAAATTTGATTATGCAGCAGAATACAGCAGAAGCAAAGAGAGTCACTCAACTCAACAACATCGCGGTCCGCCGGCGCTGGTCCAAATGCCAGTGTGTCTTTTTTCATTTTGGTTTCGAGTGGGGTGTCCACTGATTTCCCGACCACCTAACCATCACCTGCTATGATCGTGGGGCCAGAACATATCCTGTTCTTTGCCCCTTGCCCAAGCCTAAACATAATTTATCAAACATAATGTGTCATCATGTTTGAGAGAGTCGGTGTGGTTTGTGACTGTTTCTCTTCTAGCAAGAAATTTTCGTAAGAAATTCAAAAGCATTGAGAGTACTTCTTCTACAGAAAGCATTCATGAGTGCTTCTAAACTTTTTTTTATCAAACACTGTTAGAAGCATCCTAAATTGTTTTTTTTTTTTCAAATCAAATCCACTCGTTCGTTCTAATAAATTTTTAATCTTTCCTGCCGAAAATAGTGCATTTCTTTTTTGATTTTATAATACTCTCATTGGAGTAATGGGTTATGAGAGTACTTTCATTAACCCTTTCTTTCTTTGCCAATAATAATTTCTGAAGAAAAAGAAATTTGTAAAGTATAATCACGTCCTAAATTTACAATCAACTTCATTCGTTGACTGACGGATATAGTACATTTTGAAAATCTTTTCACGGAAAACAAACCTAGATAATTTACAGGAGCTAATAATCAGGGCAAAGTGACTTGATAATTTACATGATGCGGCTAACAAACCAGGTTACTGACACCACAGCGCGCCCAGCTTTTATTATACATTTTAAGTTAACCAAATGGAAATGGAATCACCACATTCCTTGCTTGGACATCTTCAAGAAATGGGATAGAGTGATATTTGGAAGTTCAATTGAACGCCCCTTTTTCTTTGTTATCTTTGTCACCTTAATTGCCTCCCCATTCTCTGATTCAGTAACCGTCACCGACACCAAGTTGTAGAACTGTTCAAAAACCAGTTTGTGCATATTAGATTTACTTCCAAGAAAGCTTTGATAAGAATTGAGTAACAATTTTACTACCTTCTAGTATCAGGTACTATTTCTTTTAGGTGGCGACTGATGCCATGCAAACCGAGTAATCCCGATGTGCAATAATTTTAAATGCATAGCTCCATAATGCATCATGAATGATAAGTGAGAAAATGTACCTCACAAACACCATGGAGCAACAATCGACGGAAAGGATCTTGAACCTGCAGGGTGAGACCATCTCCATCTTCAGTCTCTCTCACAAAAGCCCTTATGCGCTCCTGAGAGGAAAAAGAAATTTTCTACTCAATGACAACAAAAGGTCATGTTGGGTTACAATTTGATTTAAAGAAAGATGAACATGGAAACATGCATGCCAAAGATGGTGAAGATGGAAATGTGATGCCAAAACCTGTCTATACGAATAAAGGAAACCAACAAACAACATAAAGAATTGCATTCACCTCATAGCACTCAATAAGCTCCGAAACAACACTACGACGAAGTGCCTGTCTTGTTCGAGAATCAATCCTTCGCCATGCATTTAACACAGCCATTTTATCAGCATCAACAGGACCCTTATTCTTTGCACAGGGGCTTATTGAGGAACCAATGATATTAGCCTGTCAAAACGAAATAAAGGCTAGAGTCAGGGCATGCAACCAGGTAACATCTAAAAATGAACCATACCCACACACTCAGATGCACATACTGATTGATAAATCAATAATTTCAGAAGGGCAAACAATCAGCTACCTTAATGGTTTCAAGACAATTTAAATGCAACTCTAAAGGTTGGTCCTTCATATGGCTACTCAAATAAATGAATTTAATTCTAGTAATAACTTCATAGCATCTTAAATCACCGGATTGCAAGGAATTAAAAGATTGAAACAAGTTTTCAGTGAATGAGAGTGGCCGAAGGACCTGTTTGTCCATGTCTATATTCCTAAATGTGTCCCACTCTCGTACATTAGTCATGCAAAACGGTGACAGCGGTACATCATCACCTGTACATTCAAACCAAACCCAATGTTGATATGAGATTTTCTAAACAGCAATAACCATAAATAGACCACTGCAGAGTAAATGCGGGTGAGTTCAATAATCACAGAAACTTTCAACAATATATGGTAAAAATAGAAGTACTAATGGGTGAGCAATGCATCAAGCAGTTATATCAAGAGATGTTTCTTTTAGCCAAATGAGTACCCCAAGGTGGTGGAGCAAACAAGCCTCTAATTTCTTCTGCATTTAGACGAGGAACAAGTTCCATCAAAAGACGATCGTTTATCCATCTTCGAGACCGTCGGTTGCTTACCTGCCAAAGCAAAAAAAGTCATAACATGAATCAAATACAGAAAATAATTTCTCATTTTAGTAGAAGAATAGTCACTCTTCAAGCTCATACTTTTTTGGAAGGATTAATGCAATCTATTGTGACAAAATAAATGATCGTACCAAAATCCTAATGATGAACTGTAACTATAAATGAAACATAATATTTCCAACTTGTCCGATCATACAATCTTTTTCAGCTCACTAGAGCTAATTTATAATAATTATTGGAATTTCACTAGATCTTTTACATTGGAAACACAAAATTTCCATTGATAGAGAAACACAACAAACTTGACACATATTCACCAAAACGAGCATATCTGCAATTAATATGCCAATTTGCCAACTTGTTCTAGCTCCACCAAATAGTACAAGTCTTTTATGTAACTAAAATAACCATTTTGGTTATTCAATTAGCATAAAGCTTATTAAAGCTGTATGCTACTGTTAGTGGTAATTTGCTATTTGAATAACCATTGCGGAGAGACACCAAATGCTAAAATGTAGTTTCAATTAAGTAAAAAGAGTATGGATACCCCTTTAAATCATAAAATATATCAATTAGGTTCACTAGTTCTATCTTATCCATGAAATTCATATACAAAGAGAAAGCAAGATTCAATATTACCATGTGAGTAAAGTTCATAAAATAGGCCAAAAAACACAACAGATTTGCAATTGACTTAACAATAACACTAACTGTTGATCTAAATTGAGTCGGAACAGGTGACGTCAAAACTATAAGTCCGTTTTTCAAATCAATTTTTATTATACAACAATCACAATCCTTTCTAAATCAAAGCAAATCACAATGGTACCGTTCCAGCCAAGCTCTCAAGAAACTCAATCTTCTTCTCAATTGACATGCCACGAGATTTGACACTCTCTCCTGCCCAAAAATACCACTTTTAAATGGAGAATTTCTAGCAGTAACAGGGGCATCACAAATAGATTTACAAATTAAAAAAGGACTAACAGTAAACTTGACAGAAGACATCAGTACATGATCTGGGTCATTTATTCAAAATAAACATAAAACGCAGAGAATAGAATCAAAATCCCATCAATACCCAAAATCCACAGACGGTGTTTCACTCCATACAAATCACCAAAAAGTCCAAGTCTGCAACTTTACAAGACTTTATTCTATATCATGAGCTATAAATCCATTGCATAAAAAAGAAGAGAGAGAGAGAGAGAGAGAGAGAGAGAGAGAGAGGTACCATTTCGAGGTTCCAGGAGAGGAGAGGAGAGGAAAAGGCCGTCTTCTCTGTTAAGAATGTCAGGAGTCGCCATGATTGATTGGATGCAGAGCGGATCTAAAGCCTGTGGCTTTGAATCTTCTACTTCTTCTTCTTCTTCTTCTTCTTCTTCTTCTGGGTTCGTGGGTGTTTTCTGCGCTGATGGATTTTGAGGAACAGAGATGAGAGAGAGCAAGGCCGAAACTTTTTTGTGAAAGGCAACGACAAACGAGGGGCAACCCAACCAAACAAGGCCTTAGAAATACGGAAGAGAGGGAGAGACGACAGTAGAATATACTCATGTATCAACGTTTGATGCCAGACGGAAAACCATTTTACTTGGTCTTGTGAGTTTGGGAACGTGGACACGTGGCACAAGACCCAATCAACCATGTGGTTCGAAGAAGGACGGACGAGTAATCCTAGTAGCTCATATCATATGTATGGTGTTGGTTGGTTAGAGTTTTGGTTCATTTGGGTTCTGGACCTCTGGCCTGCGGTGGCTTAGTTGGTTGGTTAGAGTTTTGGCCTGCTGCTATGCTCTGATGGTTCCCCTTGTTTTGCTGCCTAGTTTTCTGCTTAGCCCCATCACCTCTAGTGTTTGGTTTGGTTTGGTTTGGGCTGGCGTCTTTCTCCATTAGTTAAGTTTGTTAACTTTCCCGATCTATTATTTGGTTTGGGCCTATTTTTGCAGGTACCTAGTACACCAGCTAGCTGGTGTACCCGCTAATAAGAATGAAACACATGTAATAATTTATTTTTAGCCTTTTAACTATTTGTTCCATTAGTATTCTTCCGTTAGCCTTTTAACTTTGTCTCTCTGTTGGCCTTTGGTTCCTTTGGTATTGTTCCGTTGATACCAACTGAGTTACACTTGTTCTGTTAGTATTCCCAAAAGCTCGAACACATCAATAGAATCTACAAGAAAAAGAAGGCAACCATAGACCCACCAGGATAGGCAAGCAGAGCTTCAATGGTTGCAGCTCTACTCAAAGTCAAAGGGTCAGCTCCAAGCATGATTGCATGACCACCTGTGAGGCCATCTTCTTCATACATCTTTGCATGCTCCGCCGTTGACTTACCTAACACAAAATTGGTAACAAGAGCAGACCCATCCTCCTTTGAATCTGAAAGGGTAGACCCAACAATTTGTTTCACTTTCCCCTGAAACCAAATCAACATAACAAGTACAGACAAAAAACAAAACACAAAAACACAACTGGGCTAAATACACACACATATAAGAACATGAGAAGACCAATAACCATACCAATATTGGAGCAAACCCCTAAGAACCCAAAACCAATGCTCTCTCCAATCCCAAACCCAACACTTCCGAGCGCACCCAAAACCCCATCAACTCCTCACCCAACCCTCACTCTCTCATGAACTTCTAACCACACCCACATCCTCAGCTTCCTCAAAACCCATATAAAAAGCCCACCATTTCGACCCCAATCTTCCTAAATTCTCTCTTTTGTTCAGGTTTTGCTTTGAATTTAACAAGGAGGGAGTTCCATAAATTTGGAGAACAAAAGAGAGAATTGAGAAATAAAAAATGGGAAGACTCTGATGTAGCAAAAGCTTAATGGAGAGACATAGTTAAAAGGCTAACGGAAGAATACTAACGAAACAAATAGTTAAAAGCTTAAAAATAAATTATTACATATGTCTCGTATCTACAAAAATTTCTCCTGCTTTTGGGGTCTTTCTCCATTAAAAGTCATTAGCCATTTGACCACAAAAAGAAAAAAGTCATTAGTCACTGACTAAAGACTACAAGGGTACTATAGGTTTTTCATGTGCTGACCTGCACCCCTCTGAAAAAGCTCGCATGTACGTACCACTGCAGTGCAGTACACCAACATAATGCGGGCAAAACCGCGCGAATAACTCACCGGCGGCATCTTCTCTTTCTCTCGGGCGAAACCCTAACTACGAGCTCACCCTCTTCATCTGCAAGCCGTTCTCTCGCTTGCTCTTTTCACAGAAAGGTAATGGTTGACTTAGAAAAAACCCATCTCATTTCGTCTTGTCCTCCTTGTTGATTCTGTCATAAATGTCAAATTTTTTTCCTTTTTTGCATTATTTTGATGAACATCAATTGCTTGTCGTTGATACTATAATACTGAATGTTTCTTGGTACTAAGTACTAGCTTGGCTTATTTATTATCTTGGGTTGACAATTTAGAGGGTTGTTAGCATGAAAATGGGTTTTAAACCCAGAATCTGAGAGCATCCCAATTAGATTAGGCCTTTTGCCACCCTAATATTTGTTTGTCACTTACTTATGTTACTAGCTTCTAATTGGAATTTCATGTCATTCTTCTAATGTTATGTTAGTGAAGCTCATGAGAATATCATTTGGATGATATTATATTATATAATGGTAGTTATGCCATCTCCTTGTTTGTATTTTGTTAAGGCTGAAGGTGTTTTGCCTCTGGTTCATATGGAAGGACAGAGTAGCCTCACCGACCCGATGCAATTGGTGCCGTTGGATTTTTGTGGGGATGCTGCCATTGATGTCTCTCAGGCAACTGGAGATGATCCAAGCCAACAAGTTAGCATGGCAGCTGAAGGGACTGCATACCAAACTGATGATCTTTTTTCACATTGGTGGACTGAAAAACCAAAGCCATCTCTCAATTCTCTCAATTGTGTTGAGTTTCTAGCAGAAAGTTCAACATTTCTCCCAAAGGATCCTTGTGAAGATATATTAGAAAGCATTCCTTTATCTGTTTCTGGCATAGATGATGTTGGTGGGGTCTCTGAATTTCAAAGAGATGTGTTGTACAGCAGTCTTGGAAATGCTTGCGGTTCTAAACTAACTGATTTCTCTATGGACATGGACGATTGGAAGGTAACATTCCTGAAATTATCCCCAGTGCATTAAGACAATAAATTGGAAATGTTTTTGGTTTGAAGCTCTTCCTTTCCTTTCTTGATGTACTTATGGTTAGAACTTTCCTGTCTGATTGTCTCTAGAATGGGTATTTTGCAGCATTAATTGTCCTAGTGGTCATATGTATATATGTTCATCCAATTCCTCTTGTTGTGGTCCTTCATTGAATTTTCTCAGCAGGTGAGATGTCTGAGGCCAGTGAATGACGAACTTGTGAATGCACAACATCAACTTCACGCCAAGGTTAAGTTATTTTTTAACAACTTTCTTTAATTTCACATTCAGCTGCGATTGTGTCAAGCAATCATTTCAACTATAATGTTTTTCACTTTTGAGAACTTTATCATGATAATGCTGTGCGATATACTTCGTACAGTATCATACTTCAAGGACAGATAATTTATAATGGGGATAAAAAGGATAGTGTTTCTCAAGTTGATCCAAGAGCAAGAAGTGCTTTACCTGATTTTCATTCCCAACCACATCACCACATTTCGACACAGAGAGCTGCTGTAACTGATCGTGTAAGCCAAATTCTTTGACTAGATAAACTGAACTGGTCAAGATTCGTGCCATTTTCCATTCAAATGACAGACAACACCATTACTTGTTCTGTTCACCTCAAGTTATGATGTTTGTAAATTGGTGTAGATGGATTTTCTTGGATATGTTTAGTTTCTAAAACTAGTCTCTTATTAATTCAGAGTCGCAGGATTCGAATTGCTGAAAAACTTGATGCATTGCGACAACTGCTTCCAATATCCACAGAGGTAATGTGTGTATATTGATAAAGAATGCATGCAGTTGCTCCTGTACTAGCTCGGCTGAAGAGGGTTTTCTTAATGACTTGTCAATGAATATTGTTTTCTGTTTGTATTTTCTCACTTGGATGACCCCAACCATAATAGTTTGTCATCAAACGACAAAGAGAACAGGCAAATTAATAAACAAATGCAGTCGAGTCTGTCTATAAAAATAATTAGAGTTTGATTTTTTTGGTAATACATTCATTGACATATTAAGCTTATCGGTGAAGATCAAGTCTAGGCTATACAGAGTAGACTTACAAATCAAATCGTGTCTTCCTCTTGAAATGGAAGTGTGTATAAGATTCAATAATTGTCACATATATGAAAATGCTGCCTCAGATTCTGATGTCCAGTACCATATGGAGGTTCAATGCTAATATATGGCAAAATTATTTTATCTGGAGAATGTGGTCAGATGTCCATCTATATATGACTGGTTATTTTGAATGTGTAGGGTGGTCGGTCATTTGTAGTGGATGATGTAATTGACCATATCAAGTTTTTGCAGCTTCAAATGAAGGTAAATCTGTCTGTTTATGCTGTGTGACGCTACAGGTTTTTGCATGATTTTGTATATGCACTCGCAGATAAACATGCATAAACCAACACAAAAAAGCACCTTCTCTTAACCACAATTTGAAGTGTTGCATTGTGAACATCCTTTAGCAGATTGTTTGAGAATATCGATATTCTTACATCAATGAGTGAAGATTCTATGTGCACTTTTTATTTTTCATTTGATAAATAGTTATATCTGTATGTTGATGAAGTTAAAATAGAAAAGAACTCATCTGTGCAGGATTTATGTAGAAGCAGATTGGGAGGTGAAACAATTACTGAACCTATCATATTCCGTGAGGTATATATAATTCATCTATGCTGAGTTATGAGTTAGGCAAAATCATCTTGTAATGTTTAACTTGCCCAAAGTTGAGCCCCATGATGAAGGTGCCTTCTTGTCTTTCATATTATGCAAGGGAGATTTATAATTCTTTTATGTTTTGCAGGGATATGGTCACTACTTTTGCCACCAGAATATGCTGAATGAACCTCTTGAAGAGATGATGGGAAAATTGCTGGAGACAAATCCAATGGCAGCAAGTCAGCTGTTGGAGAACAAGGATCTTTTGCTGCTGCCAATGGATTACTCTGAACCATTAGCTTGAGTTAATTAGATAGATATACTTTTTCTCATATCCATAAATATCATGCTTAATTGTTGTTAACTATTAACTTTTGTTCATGGTTTCTCACTGGATAGTTACTTAGGGTGATCAAACTCAGTGGTGTGGTTGGTTCTTCAGAGTGTCACGTCTTCGATGGTCAACACGTTTAATTATTAATTTATTAGTGCAAGAAAGCTATGTATTTCTCAAAACTAAATTGACTTTTTTTGCTTTCCTTTTCTTCTCTTGTGGTAGATATGCTGAATTGAAAAGCACACAATTGAATTTGAAAACAATCATTTCTATGTTCAATTAATTGTTACTACATGTGAAAAGCTAGATTGGATTGGCAAGCACACTGAGTGTGGGTGATGTACATGAATGCTAGGGAGGCAAACTTTCTTCTCTCTCTTTTGTTCCTTTGCAGTTCATATTCCTAAGCAAAAGAAAAGAAAAATCACATCTATACTACAAAATAATTAGTAAATGAGACAAATAAATTTACATTGAGTTTGTAATTATTTTTCGTGATCCTCAATTAAGGGGTCTGAGTCTACCCGGATTATGAGAGGCTTCTGAAGATCCAAGGATGAATCTGCTGCAATGGGGGGTAGCATGGAAGAAGGTGACAATATGCCTTCTTCTACCTCAGAGTTTTCAGCCAGTACTTTGTCCAGAAAAGCCTTCGCACCTTTAGTAATGCAAACCACTAGAATTACTGTGCAATGCAAGCAGAGGCAAACCCAAGAATTTTCATTACAGGGGTCAACGTGCAAAGGAAAAAAAAAATCTATACAAAATTGACCCATCAAAATGAAACGATAATATTCTAATTCATAGTTAGTAGATAAAACCATACACACACTGAATCAACTTCAAAAAATAGACACACACTGCAATAAACCAAAAATATCTCTAAGAGAGTGATAATAAACCAAAAAATTAGCGCAATCATCTTCGCCTCCCAAGGTGTCTTGTCCTATTTGACGTAAGAGCTGGCATATATTAGTGCAATCTTGCTCATTTTAGGGTATTTATGTTATTTTTGAGGTCCATCGTCGTTTTGATTTTGGGCTCTAGCTCTCAAACTTTGGACCATTATGAGTATTGTCTTAGGAGGAGCTTATTTAAGCAAATATTTCTTCAATACATAAGAGTTACATTATTCTTGTAGAACTCTTTATGGATTGAACATCTAAGGCTTTTTACCTAGATTAGGTTACTTCATGCATTCATATCATACATGAAAAATTGTTTTATGTAAAAGTATTGGCTAAGTATGAAAAATGGTTTTTCGGAATAATCATTTTCTCAATATAATTTTAAGTATATATTGACTTAATCTTAAATATTGAAAATGGAAATAAGGTAATATGCTGTGCTCTTGTGCTGCACTCTCTGGAGCATTTCATCAAGCAGTTTGTGGGAAATTTGCAGGGGTCAACATCTTTGCCTCCAATGATGAATTCCATTGTATGTGGATCTGCCCTTTGCAAGTAACAACAAGGAGGTGGAAAGTTTGGAACATATTTTTGACAAGTATAGGTAATTCCAAATTCAAAAATGCCAAAAAAACAGGTACAAAGTAAAACTCACCGGATATTCCGAAACCTAGCTAGCACTATAAAGTATAAACGCCTGCAACCACAAGCCGATGCTAAACTTTGAACACTTCATCACTAGCTAGCTAGAATAAAAGTAGTTCATTGAACAAATACAAGGACATATTGTGACTTGTTTGATAGCAGAAGAAGCTGACATTTTCCCACTAGAATTAATGAAAAGGTAATGATTTCATGGTGACTTTTTGTGTTGAATTAATTTATGTACTTATGTTTCTGTGCATGTCGTATTTTCAAATTTAATAACAGCCTTTAAAACTTTCTAATAATGCATGCAGCCAAAATGTAAGCCAGATGAAGAGCAAGAATATTATTTTGTTACTTATACAATATATATGTCCATGACCATGTGAATGGCGTCAATATGACTGCAATGTAAGCCTTACTAGGACTAGGCACACCTGAGCAATTAGGTTGAAACTATAACACATTGTATTTGAGATTAAATGGGATATGTCCAGCTGCTCTTTTGGTATGTGATAAGGAATCTTATTGAGCTAATAAGGAGTCCTATTCGGTTTGCTTGGTGATGAAGTAGAATTCTGATTGAATTTGTTAATGGGAAAAAGTAGAGTCCTGATTGAATTTGTTGATGGGAAAAATTCACTTAGCGTAAGTAGTTACAGACATTCAGTTCTTATACCTTATTTAGAGAGAGTGTGATATGAAATCTACAGAAGGTATAAGACTTTTGTATTGTTCATATGGCTTTCGCAGGTTAGTGTGTGTGTTTTTAATTGATAATGCTTAAAGTACTAACGTGCAATAGCAACAACCCAAAACTTTGGATAAATTCCTTAGTTTGGAAGTGACATAAGATCTTTCAATCTACACCACAATCAAAGATAAGAAAATTATGAGATAAGTTTAAGCATACAAAGCTGTTCATGACAGTATGCTAGCTATTAAAACCATTGGTCAATTCTTTCTGCTAGGCTAGCTGCTTTGGCGTCGAAAGCAAACCCATAAAAATGAATGGCTTAAAAGAAGGGCAATGATTTCCCCACTCCTATTTTATCCACTTACACTCCTTTTTTAGTTATAAAAAAGGAGTGTAAGTGGATAAAATAGGAGAAAAAGGAGTGGGGAAATCACCACTCTAAAAGAATCATTGTTCTTCCAAGAAAGAACCAGCAGCAAAGCCCATGGCAATCCAAAACGATAACCTCCTCCTGCATGATCCATCCACAAAGTCAGCAAAAAAAGGAGCCGTCCTCCTCTCATCATTCGAGAACTATGAAACAGACAAAACTAGGTCTTATCATTACACAAAGAAGCTTGATCAATAATTACACTAACTTTTGAAACTTAGCTTAGCTTTATAACAAAATCTTGACATTACAATTTACAATTTACATGTGAAAGAGAAACAACAAGACTACAGTCAAAACAACACAACCTACGACGCCAAGGTCGTCATTCAAAACTGTGGTGGGTCCCGTATTAGCAGCTTCAGCTACAGTGATCAGCGGCAGCCTCATGCAATGCAGCCACTTTTTTTCGGCGTATACAACAAACCACGCATACACAAAAGAAACGTTATATTAACTTGTTTCTTTATCCTTGGGATGGGGTGGGGTGGGGTCCTATGATTTTGTTGGTTTTCTTCTTGGGACCCACGACGAAACTCTTGACAATTAGTAAGTCCAATACAATCAAATCCTAGTCCTGATTGGTTTATTAATGTTTATCCAAACCCAACCTGGGAAGAACAGTGGGCTGTACTGTACCTTTTGGACTCTTTCTTCACTTGATAAGGTTTTGTGCACTTCCATCAATTCACAGCTCTAGTCTAGTCTATCTAGTCTTAACCCACTGGCCCGAAACCAGAGTCAGCATTACTCCCAAGTTACCATATTGCAATTTGCAAATGCAAAACCCATCAAACCTCAATCTAGTCGATTGAAAGAGTAATTTTTACGTGTTTCGGGTACACCAGTTACGATTTTTGAGTTTTCAATTTTCAGGCATATATATAAAGGGTATCTGGTCCTAAATCGGAGGAATGGCTAAAAGGGGGTGCATATAATCACAGACAAACCCATAGTTGCCAGCAAAAAGTGGTCCTTCAAAATAAAGGTTCATGACATAAATACCTGACAAACTTGCATGTCTTTCTTGATGCCTCCCCTTTTTTTACCTTGAGGTCTACTATCATGTGGTCCAAACCCAGTGGCATATAGAATTTCAATCTTTCACCGCCCAAAGAAAATAACTAATACTGCAAAGGGTAGGGTACAGCTTTATCCGTTCTGTTTTTAGTATTTTGACCAAGGTGGTCATGTTTGGTGGTGGTAGGAGCCAGCCACTGCCCGTGGCAAATAGTTTGCAGATGCATAGGCCATTTTCAATTCCATCTCGACTCGATCGACCGCCATTTAATCATCTACTTTTTTTGTTTCTTTCTTGGCACTGGTTGGTAGCTCAAATTATTGAAAGAAAATCATAAGCAACTTGTTTTTATGTTAAAACAATCGATCGACCCTCTCCGATGGGATGTAAATGGAGCTAAAGCGGAAGATTTCTCATCCATGATGATTAACAAGCTTGCTTTTTCCAAGTTCATCCCATCCCCGCGTGATTTTTGATGTGAAATCTAATTAGTATAATTGTTCACTATTCTTAGGTGTTGATAGACCTTAGGTGCGATAATGTGGAGAAACACTTGTATCTTCTAGCATCGTGATAGTTAGGACAATCGAGTCCATCTCTCTTTTCCTGTGAACTTGCGTACAAATTAAGATAGGCACAATTCGTATCACGGGTACAATTAAGTTTTTCTCGTTAAGGTGGCGCTTGATTTATATACTTATTAATTTCGAGTAATCTTAACTATCATACATCATGTAGTAATCAAGCATGACATAACCCAAAACTTCCACACTAAATCATTTTCAGTTTCTCTTAGTGGAAACCAAGCTAGCAAACCCTATCTTATATACTCTTATGATTAGACAAATCATTTATATCTTTGGCATGCATGCATTTGAATGATTTTTCTTTTCTTTTTGGTAAAAAGAAAGAACGAAAGAAAGAAAGAAAGAAAAATCGTTCAAATGCATGTCATTGCCAAAGATCTGTTGTTCATACACAGCACCAATGCTATTCACTTTCATTTAGACCTTACATTTTTACCTATAAAAAGAAAACAGTTATGTTCCACCATCATAAGCATAACTAGAAGGTTCTATGAATCAAAATCCCCGAAGAGAATCACTGGAAGCCATCAATTTATTAGATCTTTGTAATATTATATATTAAACTTGTACAACTTTTACTGGATGATCATAGACCGCGGTAGATTCAGTGGACTCCCAACCCAAGAAATTTTTTCCCAGAATAAAGGTGGTTATTCTATTACATCCGAATGATGAGAAAAGTGATCACTAGTGATTTGACCATCACTAAAACGACATATTGGAAAACTTTATTTTTTTTCTTTAAAGTTATTTGTTTCCTTTTCCACTGTCAAATCAAATCCTTCCTTTCCTACAATACATTTGGTTAACCTAGCCAGGGTTTACATTGAAATTTAAACAAGTATTTTTTTTCTTTTTCTTTTTCTTCTTCGTTTTATTCGGATTAAAGGCCAGACATTTTTGTCAAATCCACTTGCATTTGGAGGAATCGGATTACAGTTGAGTCCAATTAGCGTAACAATCAGATGTCATTTTGAAGAATCCACCACTTGTTTTAATTTCTTTCATTTATTTTGTAAATTTTTCCGTTTTACGTACTTGTGATTTGCGTACGTAAACCCAATATATATGTATATATATAGCAAACCCCCCCACCCCCCCTTTTGCTCCACGAGGTCGTAAGTTGCTTCAACTTTTTTGAGCAAATAAACAATTTTGTTTTCTTCATACTTTGGTTACTTACCTGTGGCATTTGAGCAATACGTGCCCTACTGCCGTCTGCCAACACTTCTCTCTTAGCTTCTTCAGCTTGCCGCGTCTCCTTAACCACCAATCTAACAGGTACTTTTTTAAAGGCCGTAATCTCTTACTTCGGATCAAATATTTTTGATTTCACAATTTGATTCTGTTTCTTAACTTTCTTTTTTGTTCTGCAGATTATTTATAGTGCTTCATCATCATCAAACATGAATTTGATGTGCAAGGAAATGCAAACATTACTTCCATCCGGTGCTTACAGTCATAAAATGGACGTGTTCAATCCTCGCCGGCAGAAGGAGAAGGTGGTGATCGTAATGGGAGCAACCGGGACGGGGAAATCGAGGCTCTCGATCGACCTGGCCACCCATCTCGCCGCAGAAATCATAAACTCTGACAAAATGCAAGTTTACAAGGGGCTTGACATAGCCACCAACAAAATAACCGAAGAAGAACAACGTGGGGTACCGCACCATTTGCTAGGGATACATGATCCTAATGCAGATTTTACGGCAACAGATTTTTGTGACGAAACCTCACTTACCATTGAATCCATTTTAGGCCGCGATCGCCTTCCAATCATCGTTGGAGGCTCCAATTCGTACATTGAGGCCTTGATTGATGACTATGACTATAAATTTCGGTCCAAATACGAATGTTGTTTTTTATGGGTAAACGTGTCCACGCCGGTTCTGCACTCATTTGTGTCAAAACGGGTGGACAAGATGGTCGAAAATGGGATGGTGGATGAGGTGAAGGAGTTCTTCCATCCCAATGCAGATTACTCGAAAGGGATTCGGAGGGCAATTGGGGTGCCCGAATTCGATAAGTACTTTCGGTATGGGCCATTTTTGGATGAAGAAACTAGAGCTAGGCTACTAGAACAAGCAGTGGAGGAAATTAAGAAGAATAATTGCAAATTGGCCTCCCGCCAACTGGAGAAGATTCAAAGACTTAGAAATGTTAAAGGGTGGAATTTGCATCCGTTGGATGCCACGGAGGTGTTTCGAAAGCGTGGGAAGGAATCCGATGAAGCCTGGGAAAAGTTTGTTTATGAGCCAAGTGCTCAGATTGTTCGTCAGTTTCTGTACAATTATGCCAAAGCTGAGGTCCCTGTCAATCTTGGTGCCATGAGGGTCCCTATGGAAAGTGCAGCACTCGCTGCTGCAACTCACTAGGAAGACTTAGACATTATTTCTTTCTTATTATGCAATACATTTTGATGCACTACCTTAATCTAATCATGAGTGTAAAATAAAGGATTAATTGTCATTGTCATGGAAATTTCGTAAGCAATAATTAATTTATATGCTCCATGTCATGCATGATATGATTAATTATAGATAGCTTTTTGGCTTTAGCTTTTTAGAGGCATTGGATCCGTGAAAAAAATAGGGTGTATTATTATTATTATTATGAAGAGAATGTATGTAAGTTGTGACCTTCAAAATGACTGCTATAATGAAGTTCTTCTTTCTTTCTTTTTATTTATTTATAGTAATTTTGTCGTCCAGGACATTTATATAATTGAAAGGAATTGGCCGTACAAATTGCGACTCCGTACGCATGTATATCATCAGTCACATCACACGCTCGTTTTTTCTTTTCTTTTTTTGTGTCTATGAATTTAAAGAATCAGAATCTTGTGATGATGATGAGAGAGAGAGACAGAGAGAGCATGGTTTTAAGATAATTCAGTTAATTGTTAAATATAAGGATATGGATCTTCTTCTTTAATTTTCTCTGTCATGATCTACTTGACTTTCATTCTCTACATGTCATCTCATTAAAATTTAATTTAAGAGATTTAAACTTGACACATCATCATTAAAATAAAAATCAAATTTACTCATAATTAAAAATAAAAGGAAAAAAAAGCTCAAACTTGACTTACTCCAACCTAACGTTGTTTTTTTTTTTCTCCTTCTTCCTTCCCCACCCCATATGCACTGGCAGATCCATAGAGGTGCAAGGAAGTGTAATTGCACCTCCCATCACTAGAAACTTCCTTGGAGATGCCGAAATTTGTCCTTTTGCTAGTGCCCACCAAGTGTTCGACTACATGTCTCAAAGACGTTGTTTTGTCTGTTGGTGTGTGAGACCTTGAATATTTAAATTAGATTGTTGGGCTCGATCTCATGAGCATGTAGGAGAAAACAGTTTATCAATCAGAGCTCCACAACCAAAGTTACGAATTTTCGAAGTTTTTTTTTATTTAAAGAATTGATGAAGTTAAACTTGCAAAGGCAGTTCAAGGAAGAAGAAAGACTCGGCGTCCATCTAGTGCTTCTGATTTTGATTCTTTTTTTTTAAATGGTCCAATAATAAGCTAACACATTTCATTTTCTAATTGGTCTAACTTAAGAATTCATTAAAAACTCATGTGTGCTGAAAAATTCACCAAAAATTATCCTGAACTTTTAATCACATGTGCTTTTAGTTAGATTAATTGGTATTGACTTTTGTTATATTAATTATATAATTGACATGGATTTTGTTCATATTTGATATGAATTTTGATAAATTATTGTGTCATTAATTTGAATTTTGTTCATATTAATTGATATTCCATATAGACTATAATCAATTAGTTATAGACGTAAAACTCTTATTTGAGATATTAGTATTATTTAAATTCTAAGGGCATTTGGTTCTATAAATTAATTTTTTAATTTTTAGCTTTTTTCTAACACAGTACATAGATGTTAGAACTTGAACCTAAGACCTTGTCTGAATCCTTTACAATTTTTTAACCTTTTAAAGATACAAAATTCTTGATTCCGGCTGCACCCACACCCCACCCCCACCCCAATTCATAACATCTTTGCAGTACATTCATCAAGCAACTGTTGTAGTATTTGATGAATTGAATGGAACCTTCAACTTTTCATAGTCGACAGAAATCTCATATTTCTAAGGGTCACTAAGAATCATTGGCTTGGGAAATTGGGGAAAGAAAATAAAAAAATTGGAATGCCTTTTCTTTTCTGGTAAAGCTAAACTAGAATGAGTTTAGCAAAACTACAAAAGACCCCATCCAGAATGCCAACGAATGTGTCTTGTGATGGTGGGTCAAAGCAGCAAAAGTCAAAAAAATTCGAGAGGACATGGGCTGAGCCTCATTGACTCCTGCAATCCTAGCACGAAGTGTATGACAGCCCATTGGGTGGCAAAGATTACTCCAACGTCAGATTGATCCCATAGCTGCTGTTGTATTTGATGAATAGAATGGAACCTTCTACTTTCCATGACAGAAACCTCAAATTTTTAAAGGCCACTAAGAATCATTGGTTTTTTTTTTTTTTTTTGGTCTGAAATAAGAATCATTGGTTTGGGAAAGAAAAGATGAATGACTCAGATTTTTTTTGGGAAGATGTGCGGAGAAGGAAGAAGAAAGAACAAATAATGTTATACACGTTTTTTTTTATACGAATAGTCAATTTAGAGATTTTTTGTTCATTTTTAATTAAGAGTAATTTGGATTTTTATTTGAAGAATGATGTGTTCAGTTTAATTAGATTAAATTTTAATGAGGTGACATATAGAGAACGAAAGTCAAACTGATCATGACAGAGAAAATTATAACAAAGCATCCGAATCTTAATTATAATGCTTTTTGAACTAAAGTCAAACTGATTATGACAGAAAAAGTCAACAAACAACTTGGCTATTGGATGCGATCGACTAATTACACAAAAGATATTTTCATCTGATAAAAAAGCAACTTACAAAATTGAAATACTTTGCGAAATGCAATCCCTTTGTGTATTATTAATATATGCTTTGCTTTCTTTTCAAGCATCACGCACACACACAAAGACAAACCTTTTTGTTTTGATTAATTTCCAGATATGCAGTTGATGAGACAGATGAAGCACCCCACCCCCCCACTAATACATTCCCTAAATTAATGGGATTAGGAGATAATCCATCTCTAATTACTTGTGAGTTGTCATTCTTTACTGTTTATGGTGAATCTCATCACACGTACATATTGGCTTTAACGAAAGTACCCAAAATTGACCTAGATAAAGAGAGAACCCAAGATATTTCTGCTGTGGCTTCATGACGCTGCTTGCTAGCAAGCACATATCTAGACTAAGCAAAGTAGTGCAGCAGATGGGCCTCTTCTGCTGCTAGGGTTTCAGATCCCACAAGCGGCTTTGGGCTTTTATATATAGCTTTATTTTTCTAGGGTTTCAGATACAAAATATTTCTTTGCTTCTTCTCTTTCCTTTGCATTTCACAGGTTCTTCTGACCCAAAAAGGAAACACGCAAAAACGAAAATGGAAACAAATTGTGTTATGTTCGGAAACCACTAACCAAAAGTTACTGTTGTCATTTTCATAGTGCATCATGCATGGATACATTATTCTGGTTCCTTCCTGTCGATGTTCTCTCTTCTTGCTCATTTTCCTTGTGTAACCCTAATAATATATCAAAATGAAATCCAACAAGCATATATCCAGCCTGGAAAACACACAATAAAGAAAAGGAGGCATCTGTTTTGGCTATACGTCCGCCCATTCTTTTGTTGTCCATAAAGAAAGAAAAAGAAAACGTTTGTCCTTTCATATACAAAAAATAGGGCATTGCTTTCGTATTACATTTACTGACTATATTGCTGATCACTTCTAATAAAGAGGTGGTCAGTAAATGTGATACAAATATTATAAATAGCAATGCCCCGACAACTACTTTTAACTTTTTAATTAATATAACAAGCACATTTTTATGCTCACAAGGGACCTCCTCGTACGGAGTTTTCAAGTTTGTAAAATGTGATATAGTCAATATAGATTTCACTATTTAAAGGCAGAGAATATTTTTGCATAAATTGAAAGAGAGAATAAAGTTTAGGGTGAAATGGGAATGAATGGGGAAGAACGACTTGATACTGACTGGTACAAGACAAGCCAATTTGTTATAGTTAATTATTCTTTTCGAAAAAAGAAAGGTAAATTTCGAATAAACACTCCTCCATCAGTCACCATCTTTAGGATATCAGAACATTATTATTGTGGGTGTTATCAGCATATATACATCGTTGTTTCCATTTGGGGTCTTATTGTCGCATTTGAAGACACTTGGAAATATTTCATTTATGTATCCAAAAGAGATACGATATCTACCTTCTACAATTGTACGAGCAAGATAACCCAATGGCCGAACCTCAAACCTTGTTATATATATATAAAAGTTATCCAACGTTTTGGTTATCTGATGATATTCCGATTCTCCCATTATCTGAGCAAGTATTAATCTAACTACTCTTTTCGTGGTGTAGTGTGGGTTCTACTTTACAAATGCTCTACCACTGAAGCTAAAATCTCGGCCTAATTCCAATATGATTGATCACTGTTGCATCATTCTACACAAAAAACTAAAGCTGTAAAAGCCATTTTCGTCTTTATATAAATGTATAAGGCTCTATAACCAAATATTATTACAAATTATATTGATAGGTAATTGAGTTTGTGTTCGTCTTCTCCATGCAACAACTTCAAATCTATGTTGAAAGCTCAAAATTATTAGAAATATAAGCTGCTAAACGAACACCACACTATGACAAGATTCAGCATTACACTCATACGTACCATTAAATGTCATAACACTAAACATAGCATGCAGCATATATAAATAAAATTCTCCGTACTCTGATGAGTACCGCCGGGCTTCACAAGGTAGTAAGATGTTTATTCAGACCTTTATCCTGATCGGAGTTCCGCATGTGTAGGTAACACGACAGGATTCCCCAACAGTTACAGTGTAGGCATGGGTAGGCTTAAGGAGGAATGTAGGCAGGTGCACCAGCAATTCACACACACACTCATTATCCAGCTGGGTCAACCATCTACAACAGTTATCTTCTGCAGGTGAGGGTTCGGGTTCATGGTGCCCCCCATGCCTGTGCCTATTATGACCATGTCTATGCCCGTGCCCGTGTCCATGCCCATGTCCATGCCCGTGCTCATGTTCGTGTTCCTGTTCCTGACCTCCGTCATCATCGGGGGGAGAAGAGGGGGGAGGGGAGGGCGGTGTCAGAGGGGGCGTTGGAGTGAAGGGCAGCAATGCACATGCATAGTTAGCAAGCGCAAATTGTGAAGCACAAAGAGGGCGGGGAGGTGGGAATATACGCTGTGCCTCCATCTTGGGCACAAATAGTAGGGAAGCTACAAACAAGGTTAAAGTAAGAATGTTGACTCTCTCCATGCCAGCTATCTTCCGCCTTCTGCTATTACATGTGAGATGTGAAGAGAAAAGATGGATGGTTTTTAGGTGTTTTAGGCTAAGCCTTGTATTTATACAGTTTTGTGCTTTCATAAGCTTCTTGTTTTCTTGAGTTTAGTTAGGCTCTCTTTGTGGGTGATAATAATTAATAAGTAATGGGGATTGCCAAGGGGATGAGTTCAGGTTTTGAATGGTTTATTCATTCTCATTCATTTTGTGTGAAGACTCTGTTAGAGTTTGGTGACGTGCAAACTCTTCTAAATTGCTCCTACCAACTGCAAGAGCAGAGAACAGAAAATACTTCACAAATTGGCAAATTGTTAAAGATTTTTCCTTTGCCTTGTCCATTTAGAAGACATGGATAATATATTTGGTGTAAACTATCTTCCTGTTTGGCCATCAACATGGAGATAAAGAAAATGAGGAAGAACCCATTGCATGCCCTGTTTGCAGAATCATTCAACTAAATGAAAAGTTTGGAGCAAAAACTCAAATGAAATAGTCAACATTTGTAGATTATTAAGGGAAGCAGAATTTCTGGTTTGCCAAAATATGGTAATAGTTGGATGACTAAGCCTCATGAAGTTCTGAACCAACCCATTCATACAGAAAGTGTTAAATAACTCGCCTTCTAGATCTTGTTCTTTTGATGTAACCGACGGCAATAGACTAAACTAGCAAATATTAGAACACTTAGAAACACACAAGAATTATACTGGTTCGGCAGAACTTTTGCCTACGTCCAGTTGTGATTTCTCTAGGTAGAGAAATCACCGCTCCTTTGATTAATAATAGAGATTACAGAACTTTTGCAACCCTAGAACTAATCTCAAAACTCTTGGCTGTCTCTGGCTGTTTTTCCTCTCTTTTTAATAAGCCTTGCCACACCCTATTTATAGATATAGAGTTGGCTTACATGTCCCAAGGCTGATTGGATTCCTATTCCTAAGTAGATTAGGAAATTACACTTATCCAAATCCTAATAGACTTCTAGAAATCCAAACCTGAATTGAATAAGGAAAACTGAAATTCTTTCCTAATCCCTCTAGGACAAGAATTGGTATACCTCTAATTTTCCTAAAACAATCCTAAACCAACGAGGACATATTTGACGAGCCAAAATCCTAACAGAATGAAGTTTCAAGCTTAAAGATGGAATCCTTGTTTTTATTCAAACATCTTACAAAACTTTGTTCTGCTTTAATGTTTGTGTATATCTGATGTGAGCTTGATAGCATAATTATCTTCAACTACTCCTTTTAATTTGTTTTATCTTGTGATAGCATATATTTGCGGATCTTGATGATAGTATCAACAAATACTCTATTCTATCTTTTTGAAAGTTCAGGTTTTGGGTTGCAGGTTTCGTCACGCCTTGCTGAATTGGAAGCAACTTTGGATGCAGGGATCCGTCACAGAAATAAGGCCCTTACTTCTGTTGGGTTTCACCTAGCAAAATGGATGAACATGGTAAAATATTGGTCCTGCTTGCCTCTTGTTAATTGTTATTTCTTTGGCGTGAGCGACAAAAAATATTGATCTAATATATGACTAACAGTTTGTGTGAATTGGAGTGGTTTAGCTTTATCCTGATAGTGACAACTATGTCGTGTTTTCTACTCTTTACCAGGTGAGAAGAACTAAGGCAGAGATAAAGAGGAAAGCTCAAATGTAGATCAGTTCAATTATATTTGGAACAAGATTCACTTCCTACATGGTATACATCATCTGATGTTCTTAACAGAAGTAAATTCATGATAAAAAATTTCAGATCTATTGTCCTGTTTAAGGCAAGACACTCAACTTCATTGAACATTCATTTCGGAAGCTACTTGTCAGAATTCATTGTATGAGAAATCAAACTCCAGCCTTAATAAATAGACACTATAGTCTCACTTCCAGAATAATGCCTAACGAGATCAACATTTTCTGAAATCGTGTCATCTTGCAAACTGAGCATGACACAGGCGAAGTTGAGATAACGGGGATGTGAAAAAGATGAAAATGTTCACCGTTATTTTTATGTTTGATCAGTTATGAAATTTACAAGCATGTATCACAAATGGTCATAGTGGTTTCATCAATAATTCCCATTTTTACAAATTGTTGTACAGTTCAACAAAACGAAGTACAGATATATAATAATGGGTCTTATATATGACACCAAAAGAAAGCAGTTTCACCCTCCATTCAAGAGATACAGTTACACCAAGAATCACTACAAATTTTTTGATAAATGTGAGGACAAAAAGGAACCTTCTCCTAGACAGAATACCATAATCCCACACAACCAAGATCATCCAATATTTTCAACAGTATTTGCAGCTCAATATCAATAGAAATTTCAAATAAGAAGTAATTCCTTCTTACCTGTCAGCATTCATCTAGTTGCAAAATCACCTTTCTTGATCATCAACTATTCTTTGCACCTGTCCTTGCCCTATTCTTTATTCCCCATGGCCATCCTTTCCTTGTCCTTCTTAACCTCTTCCATTTGCAACTGCATCTGTTCTTTTCTCTCCCTCCATCCCTCCTCCAATAGCTCAACAAACTTGTCCTTTACCTCTAGTAGCGGATCACAGTCAATCAATTCATCATCCTTGTACGCTTCCCTGAGCACTGCTGTCTTAATCCCTCCCTTCAACGACAGATAGAATATCCCCGAATGCCTTGTGAATACATTCGAGAATGCATTTGAAAACCTATACTCATCACTAAATTTCCCCAATATGGGCACAGGAATCCTCTTAAATATGGACAATGATAACAGCTCATGGAAAACCCCAACCGTCCTCTTCTCCATTTCCTGAGATGCTTGATCAAATTGCGACACATCCTCATATGGCGATATGTAATCCAGCTCCATCCAATCCCTAACCCACTCCCTCATTTCCCTCTTCAAGAAAAACCCTGATGGAAGCTTATAATAAAAATTAGGACGAACTCGGATTCCTGTCAAATTTGACTCCTCTTCTGCTCTCCTCTCAATCACAGATTTCGCAAACTCGGGGTTCCAAGAAACCAATTCCAGAAATGATTTCTCCTCCCCAGGGAACCTAAGTATCCTAAAATATTGCGGATACTTGGGCACCAAATTGACCATAAAATCATTAGGGAACCCAAATTCCCTCTTGACATGAACCAATTTATCAGCACTAAGCACTTTATCCTTGGACATCATCAACAATTTACACAACTTAGACACAATCGGAGGCTCATTTTCCATAACAATCCCATTCCCTTCTTCAATAATTTGCTGGAGCCTATCGCTAATTCGAAGAAACTTAACGGGTTCCGTTTTTGGTTTGATTCTATCATAATAAATATCAAATAAACCAGGGTTTCTGCTAAGAAAGGTTTTGACTTTGATGTTAAGGCGCAATCTTTCGCGCCGTTTTTCAAGGTACCGAAGTGGGATTACCTGGCCCGGTTCGTTAAGGACCTCCTTGACGACCCGGGCACAGAGCTTGTATTGTTTGTCGTTCTCAATGGCCTGGTCTAGCTTCCGGTCTTTGCGCCAAACCACCTTGAGGCTCGAAATGGATCGAACCTGAAGCTGCGTTTCTGGGTTCGTGTGTGACGTGAAAATGGCTGTGTGGTTGTGCAAATAGGAAGAAATAATTCGGGTCTTGGGGAGCATACCTGGAATCAGAGACCGAGCCAAACCCCACTCAACACAGTGTGAGCTTAGAGAGAGAGAGACGCGAACCCAATTTCAAGGTGCGTTTTTTGCAGCGGCAAAGTTGAATGGGCTGACTTATACATGCTTTTATTGGTTTGGGCCTGTCCTTGGCCCAATCCAATCAAAAAGTATCACGGAGCTCGACCACAGCGGATAAAAACCCCATTCTCGGGGATTTTTGTTTATTTGTTGACAAAATGATATTCTAAGTAGTCTAATGTACAAGAAGGGAGATCGAATTTATGTGACACACATTATTTTAATTAGCTGACCGAACACAACACTATCTTTGTCAATTGGTTGTGTCGAAGTTAGACACAATCTAGATCCTTTGATATCATTGAGTTTGTTTGCTTTCCCCCTTGGACATAAAATACTTGCCCCTCTTTTTGTAAGTAGGAACTTATACATTTATGTGAATGACCGTATGATATGTGTGCATAAATTTTTCTTTTACATGTTGCTACATGTTAAACTGTGATTTACAGGGAGTATCCTCTCGGATTTAGACTGTGTTAAACTTAAATTAGTTAAAACGGATCTCCTGCGAGCCCCTCGACACTTCACACAATCCTGGCCGTCCATTTCGCTAACTCGATTTTGTTTGCTTTTCGATACCCGCGTTTTCAACGGACCCGATCGTCCAAACCGTTAACTTGCATCACCTTCCCGCACGACGACAAACCTGTCATATGCTCACAAGTTAACAACAGCAAGTCAAAAACAAACACTTATTTTTTTTTCTGTCTCTCACTCGATTCGGAGTCTCGCTGTCGACGGTGCTATGCTATCACCGAACACCGAAACCCTAGTTGCCTAGCTCGGACGACGACGACGACGACGATGATGCTGATGTGGAACGGTGCGAGGGACCTAGTGTTAGATTCGGACGACATTCCGTTTGGGACGGGCTCGTGGTTCCTCTACGCCGGAGTGTCGTGCCTGCTGGTCCTCTTCGCCGGGATCATGTCCGGGCTCACCTTGGGCTTGATGTCTCTCAATCTCGTCGACCTCGAGATCCTGCAGCGGAGCGGGAGCCCCACCGAGAAGAAGCAAGCTGGTCTGTTTTTCAGAAACGAAATTATATTAACAAATTGGTGTTTAATCAACTTAATTAAGCTTGGTTGTGAAATTAATGGCTTGATGTTGATCTGTACGCAGCTAAGATATTACCTGTTGTGCAAAAGCAGCACCAGCTTTTGGTCACTTTGCTTCTCTGCAATGCCTGTGCCATGGAGGTACTTAATACTTTTTAACTTAATTAAATTTTATAGATTTGCGGTTTGCCAACGGATTAATTAGTATTTGTATTGATCTTTGCTTTCCCAGGCGCTTCCTTTGTACCTTGATAAAATCTTTCACCCCTTTGTTGCTGTTGTGCTGTCTGTAACATTTGTTCTATTATTTGGAGAGGTACGGCTTTTCTCATTTCATTATGAATTCTTGCAATGCAACTGGGTATAGCCTTTAATCTTGAATGGGATTGTGCCTGACTTATGCCTTGTCATATTGGACTAGATTATCCCACAATCAATATGCTCAAGATATGGACTTTCTGTTGGTGCCAATTTTGTTTGGCTTGTTCGCATTTTGATGTGCATCTGTTATCCAATTGCGTACCCAATTGCCAAGGTAATGCTTATATCCTTGTACTGTATCATCCAATTTCAATTTTCTCTTCAAATTTTTTAATTAATTGTTTTTGGGGTTATGAGACATTTAAGATATTGCATCAACAAGAGATTACTAAAATGGTGTTTCAATACTATATTCATGATCATTTCCATATTTGGATGAAAAAGTATGTTTCCTGATTCAGAACAACAGTATAAGGAGTGAAGTTCGATATGTTTCAGATTCATATATTGCTATTGTAGCTTTTAATTTAACCCATGGTCTCAGGTTCTGGATGCTGTACTTGGTCATAGTGATGATTTGTTTAGGCGAGCACAGTTGAAAGCCCTAGTCTCTATTCACGGCAAAGAGGTAAGCTGCTTAGGTTGGAAGTATTTATGACATGCCACCTCTTGCATTTTCCAATATTTTGTTCATGACTACTAATTTTGTTGAAAGCTCTTTCTTTTGTTGCACAACAGCAGTAGTGATAAATGATACAACTACTTCTTGGGGTTATATCGGGCTTTGTGATTTGTGAATGGCTGCTGAAAATTCCACAACAGTTTTACCTATTCTAATGGTTTTCTCTTCTCTTTGACTTGCTTTTTCTGTCCAATTTAGGCTGGTAAGGGAGGTGAACTCACGCATGATGAGACAACAATCATCAGTGGAGCGCTAGATTTAACTGAAAAGGTGCCTAATGTCTTAAGAAGTATTCTAAAATTTTCATTTTGTCCATATCTGCATTTGACCTGGAAATTTATGAGACATTAAAGAGAGATTTGAGGAAAGATTTTGATTCTATTAGGTCATCTTTCATCTTCTCTATTGGGTTATGTTCATGTGGATGGTCCTTTTATATTATCAACCACTTTTGTCCAATGTGCATTTTTGTAGTACTTGCTCTGTGGCTGATACTGCATCCAAACTATTTTAGTGTTACTTCTCTTCCAGGGTATTTCTTACATTTTTCAGGCTTCTGCATGCCATTTTAAGTATTGAGATAAAGCCAAAATCCATGTCTGCATGTTGCATTGTCTTCAATATTTGAAGTATTCATGATACTAAAGTTTCTTTTGATGTCCAGACTGCAGAGGAGGCTATGACACCTATTGAATCAACTTTTTCCTTGGATGTAAATTCAAATTTAGACTGGTGTGTTTTCCTTTGGACTTTTTTCTTCTTCTTCTTTCGTGTTCTTTCTTTTGTGATACTAAAATAGCAGTGACAGATACTGACATCTCTAGATCCTTACTTTGTTTCTGTATCTGATCTTTTAAGGCAAATATAGTAAGAACTAGGTAGTGAGAAGGAATTCTAAGGATCACGGTTGATGTTGAGATGCGTCTTGTTCTTCTCTCGTTTTTCATGATATAGGGACATATGTATTCTTAAATGGTTGTGTATCTTCTTATTAATCAGGAGTAAACACATGAACAGATTTTTTTTAATCCCACTTTCCTAATGCAGGGAAGCAATTGGGAAAATTCTTGCACGAGGTCATAGTCGAGTTCCTGTCTATTATGGAAATCCAAGAAACATTATTGGCCTCTTACTGGTGGGTGTGAAAACTTTAGCCTGTCTGAAGTTTGTGTATGTGCGTGTGTGTCTTATATGATATTCTGTTATTGGTAACAGCTTATGGTAGAATTTGCAAGTCATTTTTATAATTTTGTTGTTGACTTAGGTGAAAAATCTTCTCACAGTACGAGCAGAAACGGAGACTCCAGTGAGTGCCGTTTCCATTCGAAGAATTCCCAGGTGTGTCATTTTCTCCATATTCTCTTTTATGTATCTGTTCTCTGTGGGAAATTGTTAAATTCTTATGCATGGATATCCCAGGGTTCCTGCAGATATGCCTCTGTATGATATACTTAATGAGTTTCAAAAAGGAAGCAGTCACCTGGCTGCTGTAGTGAAAATCAAAGGAAAGAACAAGAACCTTTTGCCAACTGCTGACAAAGAGAAATTCGAAGAGAATAAACTGTCCCATGAAAAATCTCAATTAGTTGCCTCCTTGCTAAGCAAGCATGATGACAAATCAGGGAGTGTTGTTGTCAACATCAATAAATCTCCAAAGTCTCTGACAAACAAGCCAACTGAGGATATTGAAGATGGGGATGTCATTGGAATCATCACCCTGGAGGATGTTTTTGAAGAACTTCTGCAAGTAAGCTCTGCCTCTAATTTATAGATTCGGAATGGTCTGTAAATTGTCATGGACTTTGGCTTAGTAGCACTCAACCCATTTAAACTATCTTTTTGCGGTTCAGTCAGTGGGATAGTATTTGTTCCACTACAAAATATGCGCATATTATTTGTTTTCATATTTCCATTTTTTTAGATAGATTTTCCTGATTCCCCTTTCTAATGCAGGAGGAGATTGTAGATGAAACAGATGTATATATCGATGTACATAGGAGGTACTATTGGATCTGAACTCTCCTATCTTGCTCAGTCGCTCATGGTCAAGTTGCTTGATTAATTTGGAATGCATGATTTGTATAGGATACGTGTGGCTGCTGTGGCAGCTGCTTCATCCATGGCACGAGGTCCATCAAGTCGGAAGTTGCTTGCAGTAAGTTACATCATTCACTTGTCAATCTTCATTGCCAAGTCATTTGAACATGAATTCATAAACCACTATATGGATTTACGTCATCATCAGTTCCCATCTTCTTTGTTAAGTGAGATAAAAGCCCATTTCCTGGAAAAGCACAAGTTTTCCAGTAACTGAACATTTCACCAAATTTGCAATTTGTGAAGCACATGGGGCTGTATTTGAACAGAATTTTCATCTGCAAAACTCCAATGTTTTTGTGCTTCTTACATGCATTGCTCACGCTTAAAGTACATTTGTAGTGCATAAATGTGTAGTAGCTCTATGCAGAAGAATAATTGAAGGGGCGGGAATCATCATATAGTAACTTCATAAAAAGTAGCCAAAAGCAGCCGAAAATTTTAAGAAAAGTTTGAAAAGTATCAAATTTATTAGCTTCCTCTCCAAGTACATATTTTGGAGAATTACAAGTTGTATTTCATTTCTGTGAGCTGTTCTGGAAGTTCAAAGTTATTTGTCTAATTATACATTTGGTTATCCTTCAGGGACTAACTGAGCATGGACAAACCCCAAAGAAGTCCGCAGAAGATGATGCACATTCAGTGAGGTATTCAGGGAATCCTCGGGAGCCTCTTCTAGGCAACAAGAGATGACAATGGTAGTTCCAGACTTCCGGTCGGGAAACAAAGTTGCGGCAGGCGGCTACCTTCAGTCCTTTGTTAACTATCATGCCATGCCACGGAAGTTGTGGTCAACAGTCTGCGTCCTTTGTTAAAATATCAAGATTACAGTTACATATCTATAAGCTAGGCTTTTCTTGTACATTATAGTGTGCATGCGTATGTAACTGGATTTAAATTTTGTCAAGTTTTTTTGTTCTTTTGGTCAAAAATTTTGTCAGTCTACGAACTGGATCTGTCCAACTACAGTAAAACCCATTTGGGTTATTTATAAAAGCCTACCAAAGAGAAACAGATGGATATTTAACGGAAGGGGAGGGGCCTATAAATGAATAATTTCACCATAAATCTTACAGACTTAGTTCGACGGTATAGACAAAAGGAAAATGTTGGAGATAATATATTGTGTATTGCCTTTTCTAATATAATGTGGTCCTTCTAGACAAAGAGAATAAGTTAATCAAACAATGAAAATGTCAATGGTGTTTATCCCAATGAAAAAAGGTCAGTGATTTTATGTTCGAATGAACGGCTCCCTCTCATTTCCTTCCTAATTTTGGCGAAAAATAAAATAAAATCAAACAATTAAAATAACCAGACAAACGAAAAGTAGGAGCACTTGCACCACAATCTCATTTAATTTTCATGCAAAATCTCAAGAAATTGTCTTTGACCTAATGTGACAATTAGGAGACTCTTCCATATATTTGAGAAAAAGAAAAAGAAAATAAAGCATTAATATTCAGAAGCTGATTTTTTGTTATTTGTGGGCAGGGAAAGACACAGCAAGTGTGAAAGAAAGGACCAGAAAGCAGCAGGAAAGTTCCCAAGTTCCACGTCAGCTTAACCGTTATCCAGTGGCCCATCCAAGTTCCGACGAATAAAGACTTGGTTACCCTGAGTAGCGGCCCAAGAGCCTCTGCCATGTCAGCCGAACAGTCAAATTTTAAACCGACGGAATTACCCTCGCATAGTAGCTAGATTAACGATTGTACCCGTTTCCTTAGCCGCGTGGGTCAACTCGCCCCCAGCCCAAGCCCAGCCGAGTTTTCTAGTTGTTTATTTTCCCGAGAATCGAACACTACAAATACAAATATCGTACAAACCTGAAAACTCGTCTCCTTCCTCCTTTCCTGGTTCCCCTGAGTCTCTCTCCCCCTATCTGAACGGTCAGTCTTTATCTTGTTGTTATTTCCGTCCGTTTAGTTGCCGAGAAAGGATAAGAATCGCAGAGAAAGGATTGTGAAATTTCGCATCTTTCTTTCGTTTTAATCCCAGGTTTTAAAAAGTTAGAAATTTTTTATTCTGAATTATTTTCTTTTCGTTTTTAGGGTTTTTTTGTGTGTGTTATTTTCTCGGCAGCCAAACAGAGAGATTGTAATTTCGATTTCATCTCATGCGTATTTCCCCGTTGTGATGAATTTTGTATTGTCGGCTCTCAATTTCGAATCAAATTCTGATTTTTTTTCGTAAGTTTAAACCAAACGGAGTATTATAGAGTGAAGGGGGAAAAAAATTCATCTTGGATCTTGACATCATTTTCGTTTTCTTGTGTCAAATTATTGCTCTTTGTTGTTTCTTTGACAAAAAAAATTATGTTTATTAATATGTGGAGTTTGGAACTCTCAAATGGATGAATGTTTTTTTGGTATGTGCAGGTTTGTAGCTCTTGGATATGGGTTTCAGTGCGGTTTATGGTTGCTTAAAGGAAGTTTTTCCACAGGTATCGGTCGTTACCTCAAAAGACATTTTTGGATTAAATTATATATCTTTGCTATTAGATTTCCTTGTTTGCCTCAATTTCCTTTTTGCCTTTTATTTCTTGTTTTTTAGTTTTTATTCCGGCAGATGCTAATGATTAGTACTAGTTGGATTTTATGGAATATACACATTGTCGTCCCTAAGATCTTAAGCAAAAGATTTGTACAGTTTTCTTTAATATTCCTTAATGTAAGAGCTGTAAGATTAGGGAATCTATGTGTCCTAGGATGCTTGAGTTGTCTTTTTGGTGTTGACCATGCTGACCCTCCATATTATTTCTTCTAATGCTGCACAGGTGGATTTTCGCCTTCTGAGGGCTGTTGCTATTGAACATCCCACCGATGCTGATGCAGCAGTGCTTGATGTTCTTACTGAGCTCCCTTCCTTGAACAGACGATCATTGTCTCTTGTTAGTCCTGCACAGGTTCTGCATCGCACAGGTTCACCAGTTACAGGTAATCTATAGCTTTTCATGAGAACTTTTTTCAGATTCCTGATATCATTCTGTTATTGACGCCATTATATTTTTCCTATTCCCCGTCGTTATATATTGATAAACACTAGAATGTTGCCATTTTTTCTTTTAACCTTTAGATGGTTAATATTGTATACACTTTATTTTATGCATATATTCAAACCCTCTATCTAGTGGTAAACATTTGATATTTTAACAATGGTATTTATTTATATGTTGCATGATGAACTTGCAGTTGACCACAAGGAGAAGGGTAAAGCATTGATGTACCAGCAGGTAATTAAGGAAGTAGGAGTTGGATCTCTACCAGAACCAGAAACCGCAGCTGGTGAGGATGGCAACAAAAATGATCATACAAGTGGTGCCTCTCTTGATGAACCCACACCAATGGAGGAAGTGCATACATTGCATAATGCCCCTGTCACGGCAGATCCTTTGAGGATACATACTCGAAATGAAGAACCGATTTCTGATGAAACGGGTTTGAATTTTGATGGCAAAGTTGGGCTTCAGCAGTCTCCATCTTGCAAGTCAACCCTTTCAATGCCTGAAAAAGATTGGGTGAATGGCATCTTGGATGAGCCACTTCCTGCATGGAAGAATTTTGATTTTCCTGTGCATGATGATTCTGATTTGGTTATCAGTGAAACATGTCATAAAGTAGAATCATCTGCTGTTGACTCTTTGGTGGAGGTTAAAAGTTCTGTGGCTCAGCTGGATTCTTCTTTTATAGAACATGCACCGGATGCTACACAGTGTGACTTTCATTCAGAATTCTGTTCAGGCCCTCTTCTTGCTGATGACAACTTACAAGCAACTGGTACTTCATGTCTTACTTCCAAGCAAGATTGCTCTCCCAGGGAAATGGTTGATATTGAGGAGACCACACCAAACAACATATGCAATATTTATGTTCTTGAAGAGATAATTGAAGATGCTAAAAATAACAAGGTACTAATGGATTTACAACTTGTTAGCTTTAGACTTGCAATTCAGAAGTAAATGCATCTACTATAAAAATTACAACTGTATAATTTTTTGTTCAATTACTATCAGATTCTAAACCTAATGATGGTAGTTTATCAACTTGATCCTTTCTTTGTGATGATGCTCTGTGTTTTCATTGGGTCTCTTGAAGTGGCTTTTAATTCTTCCGTGTGAAACAAGTACTATACGATTTTGTCTTTTGAATGCAATGATATTATGTTCTATAGATTTGGTTTCGGTGCTTCATTTCATCTTTGTATCAATAATTTGTATCATCATGGGATGTACTGGTGATAATTATTGGCTGACATTTGGGAGCTTATTATTAATTTGAGTAGTTTATTACGTGTTTACATTGCTGATGCAGCATCTTGATGGAGTCTGTTTTCAGCATCATTAAATTTTTTTTCTCCTCTCCCGTATGATTGAGTTCCTAATTATTAAACAATGGAGCAGAAAACCTTGTTTTCAGCGATGGAGTCAGTTATAAGCATGATGAGAGAAGTGGAAGTCCAAGAGAAAGCTGTTGATATTGTCAAAGAGGAAGCTTCTAGGGGAGGTTTGGATATCATGGTCAAGGTGGAGGAACTGAAACAGATGTTGGCACATGCGAAGGATGCAAATGACATGGTTGTAGATTGCTAAATGAGATTAATATTATAAGTTAATGGATTCTGAATTCTGCTGTTCTTTGTCAAGGGTGCACCATAACTGAGGATGTATTCTTCTTTTTTCTGCAGCATGCTGGAGAAGTGTATGGGGAGAAAGCAATTTTAGCAACTGAAGTGAGGGAGCTCGAGTCTAGATTGCTCAGCTTATCAGATGAAAGGGATAAATCACTTGCAATTCTGAATGAGGTTTTTACTTCAGTTCATCAAGTTGTTCATCACACTGCATTAATTTGTTGTCATGCTATGTTTAACTAAATTATTTATTCATCTTTTAAATTTCCTCATTTATTATGCTATCCTTATCATGTTGTATTCTTCAAAGGCAATGATTATATTCTCTGTTTCACTGCTCTAATTATTTATCAAGAAATATCATGACAGAGTTCATACAGTAAAAAAAAAGGGGCAAATGTTATCCGTCACTTGTTTGGCTTCAATCGATGCACAGCAGCTGATACAAAGATAGTCCATTTTCTGAGTTCATTATTTGTTTTGTAACTGCAGATGCGTGAAACTCTTGAGGAACGACTGGATGCAGCAACTGAGGCAAGGAAAGTGGCTGAGCAGGACAAGCTAGAAAAGGAAGAATCTGCACGGACAGCTCTTGCTGAACAAGAAGCGGAGATGGAGAAAGTGGTCCAGGAGTCAAAAGTATTGCAACAGGAGGCGGAGGAGAATTCCAAGGTTGCAACTATTTCTAATGACCGTGGACCTACTCAAGTAGAGTAACTGATGATATAATTTCGTTCTTACTTTTCTTTTTGCAGTTGCGGGAGTTTCTGATGGACCGTGGTCGCATTGTCGATATGCTGCAGTAAGTAATTTTGTCATCGTTGTTTTAATATATTAGTTTTGTTTCCTTTCGAGGCTTTCTAAATTTCTTTTGATAGTTTCGTGTCTGTTTTTTCTGCAATATTTAGTTTTATGGTTTTGAGGAGATAACATGGTACTTTGGTACTTGTGCAGAGGAGAAATTTCTGTTATTTGTCTGGATGTCAGGCTGCTGAAAGAAAAATTTGATGAACGGGTTCCACTAAGCCAGTCTGTTTCCTCAAGCCAGACTAGTTGCATCTTAGCTTCTTCAGGCTCATCATCCCTGAAAAGCTTGGGGGCATTTGATTTGCTTCTGGAACGAGTCGAGTCACCAAAGTTTGCAGAGAAGGCAAGTCCTACTCCTTCAGTTGATGGCCTATCACCAACAAGCAGACTTGAAGATGAAAGAAGAGAACTTGCGCAAGCACTTGTGGACGAGGGGTGGGAAGTTGTCGTCGACAAATAACTGGATTTCTAAGCCTACTATTGCATACATTATGGTATTGTGAATACGACCAACAAGATCAACTTCGCAGGATTTTCGCCAAATGCATTTTTGTTTAAGTTGAGAGTAGGGTTTATACATATATATAATATAATATATTTGGAGTGTTATTAGTAGTTCCATAGGGTTGAGGAGTACTAGTCGAGCCTCTCTCTTTCCGCATACTACTTTGATAGTTGCGAGTACTTTCTATATTCTATCATGATTTGTACAGTACATATATTCGAAACAATAATGAAAACTTGCAGAGTTTTGAAGATATTATTCTACTCTAGCCCAGAAAACCTAAAGTATAAGTCTCAACAGGCCCTTTTCAACGCTTTCTTTAACTGTAGCCCAGAAAACCTGTGTGAACTCGATTCGGCCAAGTGTATGTATAATGTATGTATATATTTCTATGTCCAGATGCTTATCGACTAATGGATTCACTGAACACGAAGAAAAGGTGAAAAACGGCTGCAAGGTCAAAAAGGCTTTTTATTTATCGGATAAGCTAATCTATTCTAGCAAGTTAACCTCTGTAAATTGGCTTAGAGTCTGTTTGGGAATGCTTCCGAAAGGGCTAAAAGCGTTTTCTGATAACTAAAAGCGCTTCTGACATCGTTTGGCAGAAAAGTTTAAAAGCGCTTATGGGTCATAAGAAGCACTCTCAAGTGCTTTTTCACGACGCACTTTAATTTTTTATGAAAATTCAAGATTTTTATAATAAATACGCTTTTGTTAAAAGTGCTTATTAGCAAAAGTACTTAGTAGAAAAGCAGTCTCAAACGATCCCTTAATCGGAAAATGAGTTTGACAGACAGATTGGATTCGACGTGCAATAGTGTCATTATTTATAAGCAAAATAGGAAACACAAGAGTTCATTAATTATCAGAGAGATCCATACATCATATCATATGGTACATGTATGTATTTACATAGTCAAATCAAGTACACATTTCGAAATTGGAGCTATATATATATATATATATATATATATATCTTCTTCAATTCACTTTAACCTACCTACCATCTAAGCCAAAACTGCGTCACTCTTGTTTGCTTGATCATTATACAACATGCAGATGCAGAGAGAAACACCACAACATCCACCCGTACGGTATGGTGAATTACTCACCCTAATCCTCCTACTGAATCCCAAGCTTGGAGTGGAGATTGATCAACAACAACAACAACAACACAGTAGTGCATGTGCATGCTTCCACTCAACTCAACTCAACTGAGCTAATTAACATAATTAATTAGCCTTTTAAATATATAGTTAATCATGCCAGCACAGAAGCATCACGCTGCATCTCCATACGATGTAAAGCCGTGCCCTCTGCTCTCTTATGTGCTTTGAACACCATGTCCACGGCCGAAGCTTCAAACTGCTCCTTGTTGTTGGGATTGCCTTGGCTGCCATGCCCATGCCTATATATATATGAACAAAACAAACACACAAATCGAACTTTGGCTGAGATTTTATGACAATTAACTAAAGAAGTTGGAACTTGAAACTAAACTTGTTGTGTTGTGGGTTTGAAGGGGTGTTAACCAGGGGCTTTAAATAGAGAGACTACAGAACAGCAGAAGAAGAAATGCGAGGAACAAATATGTGGTGCTTGACAAATGTTGGCCACTGGTTGAGCCAAAGGGACAGGGAAGGGCCCCACTGTTTTTGGGCATCATGACAAAGCACACCCTCTCTGGATAAGGACCTCTCATCGACTCTTCCCCATGGAGGGGCCATCCCCTTATCTCACTTGCACTGTTATCTGCATGCATTTGTAATAGGATAATGCCAGGTTTATCACATTTTTATACCACATTATGTACTACCTCTCTAATAGATGTGGAGTAGAGGTGGAACCCACCAATACAATGAGACCTATTTCTATTAGAAATGTAGTACACAATGTGATATGAAAAATGTGATAAACCTAGTAGTTTTCTTTGCAGTATGCATAATGCATGCTCACATCAATCACCTAAACAATTAAGAATCATTAATAAGTTTGACTAATGTTCCAGTTAATGCTCTCAATATAGATTTCTAAAATTAATTATATCATAAAAGTCAATTAATAGACTAATAGTGATAAACATTTAAAGCCAATCCAAGGGGACTAAAGGAGCTATCTACAATAGACAACGTATATTATCAAAATGATTTTCAGCCATTTTACTCTCGAACTATGACCCTAATCGAACTTAACCTTCAGAACTAAAAAGTCAACCTACTTGAATTTATTAAAACAGCCAATTTAAACTCACTGTTAAAATTTTCGAATTTCATCTAAAATCTAGCAGTAGGTGTGAAATTGACAATTTCAATAATTCGGGTGCTAAATTGGTTGAGTTTTTAGTGCACGGGGTTAATTTCGATTAGGGTCCGTATTTCAGCAATTAACTCTTATCAAAATGGTGGTACACGTGTCCCTTAATTTGGTAACTAGTATAAGAGCTAATCTTGTTCACAATCATTTATTTTTTCTGAAAGAAATCGAACTTGAAAAAGCGTATGGGTATTTCCTGGAGTTGAACTTTAGACCGAGACTGACCGTTAACAATAGCATTCACATTTGGTAACTACTACTACCAGAGAGCCCACGTGTAACATAAAGAAAACAAGTACAAAGGGGCCCACCCACATTTTCATCATCCTCACAGCACAGGGCTCGAATATCACGTGCAGTATGTCGTACTGGTCAAACCGACATGCCGTCGACACTTTTTTTTATGTTTTTATTTATTTTAAGAATACATGAAATGTATCTTTATCTTCAATGACTTGAAGTTGGAGGAAGCCCTACCACTACCACTATACTAACGGACTCTAAGGCGACACTCAGGATGATCCTTCGCCTTCAACAACAACCACCTTACAAAACCCTACACTGTGACCTCTACAATGGACAACTTGTCCCAACTTTGGCCATCTCCGTTCTGAATTAGTGGATTTGGAGCCCTACACGTGGTTCTGAGAAATCCCATTTGTCTTTGTTCCTGTGCTGCAGCCAGAGCTAGCATAGCCACTGTCATAAACACTCGTAACCTTATCTCAATGGAGGGGGGAAAATCACAGGTATAAGTATCAGCATACATCATACATGACAATATTACACATTAGATTACAAGGGTGCGAGACCCCACACATTGCAAAGGACTTGAAACTCAAGTGGTTATCATTCTTGCACACTAAGTCTTGTGTTTGAGTCCCCACAACATGACACTTGTTGCGTGATAATTTGGAAATGCACATGGGGAAGGAAGCAAGGGGGTTGCTTGGAACCAACCAATGTACTTAGACCAATGAGAATGTGTGCGCTTCCACAATCTCGAATAAAAATCAAAGCAAAGGGTTAAAAATTGAAAAGCATGTGGCACTTTTTATATTTTCCGACCAAAAAGAAATGATTCGCACTTGTATTTTGGAAGTTGATGGACAACTCACATTTTCATCTGGAAGGTACTGATTCTGTTATAGGAAAAGACTTTGAGGACAAACGTAAAATGAATAATAAGTACTAACAGAGAAGGGTTACATAGACAGGAAGAAAGATAATTCACAGAGAAGAGTTCGTATTCACTATTTCATCTGCAAAGTACTGATTCTGTTATAGGAAAAGACTTAACGTGAAATGAATAATACGTACTAAGAGAGAAGGGTTACATAGACAGGAAGAAAGATAATTCACAGAGAAGAGTTCGTATTCACTAGTGTTTGAACTGAACTGCCTGATAACCTCACACCTCCCCCAGAGCTTTCTTGATATCAGCCTGTGTCGAAGATAGGGAAGAATATCAGTTTAAGAGATGACCAGAGCTGTGCTTCTGTGTGTATGCATGTGTCTAAGAGAGACTGAGAACGAACCTCAATGCTCAAAGGAGACGTGGTTGGGCTGTACCGTTCGATGACATGGCCATCCTTGTCAACCAAGAACTTGGTGAAGTTCCACTTTATCCTATTCCCCAGAAATCCAGTTTTACTTGCTTTGAGGAATTTGTAAACAGGTTCTGCTTCTGGCCCATTGACACGTACCTAGATATAGAAGAGTACAGAATCCATGTTATTAAACTGTTAAGTTTCATCTGCAGATTGGGCAAAAGAACTAAGATCTTAACATAAGATGCATCACTCAGAAAGAAATCATGGTTTTGCTTACAAATCCAATCAATTAGCTTGTTTGATACCATGGATTTGTTTCCTGTCAAATGTTTTCTTTAGCCTTGGTTGATAGTGAAGCATCTCCTAGAAAGTGGTTTTCTCTCGCTCTCCTCTCTCTATCACACATTCAAACATATTTGGCAACCATACTGGCCTCTCATATTCCACCCCTGTGTAAACCATTTCTCATAAAGGGGTAATGGATAAAAAGGCTACAGCTGGTACAGAATCAGTAATATTCTTCCCCTGTTGCAATCCATTGCAATTGACCAACCAGATGAAGATAACAAGTAAGTGCATTACTGAGAATACACGTAAGCACAACCAACATCAATGAAATAACATGCCCATCGCACTCAGCTTCAAGCACATCAACTTAACACTCAAGAAAGGAACCAAATAAACAGAAATGAAAGGTTTCCTACGTTCTACAGAAACTATATATATAAATACAGAAGTCGTAATATTGAAAGGTGGCAAGGTTTATTCTTTCTTTCTAATATGCTCTAGAAGGAACCTCATAATATTATTAGCACAGGGTATAGGCCACATTTTATACTGAAGTATGAGGGCATTAGTCTTAGCGTTTCCCTTTTTCACAAATCAAAACAAACCAGGAAGCCATCCAATATGAGTCTGAGAATTCTAAATCTTAATAATGCCTTCCTCAAAAAGCTCTTTGAAAGAACATGTGCTCTTCCAATGGTCTGTGCCATTAGAACTGACCCGCTGACTGGAAAACATCAAACTTATAGTGATTAACTTCTATTACCTAATCTCTTCATTCCTTTTTTCCAGATAATATCTACATTCCTTAACTCTAGTATTTAGGTGGGGATATATAGGCAATAGCAGTGAGCAATATTTAGCTGTCTGGTAACCGTTTTCCATTTCCTCAACTCTACATGGGTGAATTCAAACAAAAACCAAGCTGAGGGTCAAAGAAAAATTATTGGCAAAACCCATGAGCCACTACTAATATCACATACATAGTCATTTTCTTCAAAGCTCAGGATATCACAAGCACCATGTAGGACTAAGATAACCGGATTGATTATCTGATAAATGTGGCAAAAGATATTCAATTACCTTCTTGAATATCGGATATTCAGCCTTGTATCTTGTACATGCAAATTCTTCCGCGTCCTTGCTTGTCCCAGGCTCTTGCTTCAGAAACTGATTGCACGGAAATGCCAGGATCTCAAGACCTGAAAATACTCATGTCTAGAGCAGATCAAACACAAAACTAACAGAAATATTTACTCTCAGTCTTAATGGGCAAATGGCATCAACTAAACTGATAAGAACTTGGAAATTAGCAATATAAACAAAACTATAAAATTTGGATTATAGAAAAAGAACCCAGAAGAGTTTTTCATGGGATTTAATAATCCTTCGCTCAAAATTAGAACTTCTTCACGAAACTTGATTGTAAATATAGATGATATGTTCGTACGTATAGAGCTGTAGTGAAAAAGGTTTAAGGGAAAAGAAGAAACCTTTGTCCTTGTATTTGTTGTAAAGCTCGGTCAACTGAGTGTAATTCGTATCAGTAAATCCACTGTAAACACATAAGAAGAAGAAGAAGAAGAACACAAGGATTAATCAAATGATTAAACCCAAGAACTAAAAAATAAAAATAAAAGGGGAAAAAGAGAGAACCATTTGGAAGCAACGTTAACAATGAGGAGGACTTTCCCTTTGTAAAGGCTGAGGTCCACGTCCTTACCTCTGCTATCCTGCCACCCAAAAACAAAAAATTTCAAGATTTCTGAACGAAACCATTGACTTGAAAAAGAAAAGCAATGAACTTGGAATTACCTTTACTGTGAATTCGTGGATGGATTTTTCAGAGACCAACTGTGAATGTGAAGCACCCATTTCTCTGTCTCTTTACACAAGCAAAACTGTTTGTTTGGTAATAATTTATACAGAGCAAGAAGAAACTGTGAAGGGAAGGATGAAGAAGGAAAGACTTTTTACAGTTGCCTTGTTTGTGATCAATTTGCTGCAGTTCACACGGCAGATAGGCAAGGGGCTCAAAACTTTTTTAATTTAGGGACAAGGGCTTCACTTCATTTCATAATTTACTCTCAATCACTTCTTCTTTTTTGGCCTTTTCATTTTGTTGGGTCATGAGTATGAGAGGGGTCAGTGGGCTGTTTGCTCCAACCAATATGTGCTGTCTTTGTAATTCTAACCAGTTTTTCTTTTCTTCGGGTCAACTATTTCTCATGAATTTCAGCCATCAGTCACTCAGTCAAGAAGATATTTTGATGTCAAACAAACCCTAATTAAGCCCAAAAACAAGAATCTGACTCAAAAACATCTCATGTAACATAAAAAGTCGGTCGACTGAGAAATAGCCAACTACCCTCATTAATATTGCGCAATCACAGTAAATACATAACCGCTCCCGCTGTCAATGGCCCGCACCACGTTCTGTTATGATATTAAAAAAATTAGAGGGGAACTAGAAACCCAACTCAATATGTTTTAGAATCACAAATAAATTAGTTTCTATATTGAAAATAGATTACCTTTAATTTTAACAAGAAACGAAATCTTACAAGAATTAAGAGATTTCTTTTAAGGATATTTCTTAGGCGATAACATACTAAACTCACACTCTACAACGATGCTAAATCAGGACCTTTCATGAGAGAGTATTGCTCCAAACCATCAGATTCTCAGGGTCCATTGCGCAGATTTAAGAGATTTTTGGTTTACAAGAACAAGGCATTTTAATAACAAACGATTCTTCTAATAGTGGAGCATGGAAAGCAGCCCAATTTGATGGTTTGATAGAGTTGGCAGCATAAAAATTTCCACGAATGGACAAGACAGCTAAGAAGAGAAATATACAGATAAAGATTGCACCAAAGCAATGAGTATATGTTCCATCAAATGCCCCATGCATGTCATAAAATTCCTATGTAAGGGCTTCCAAGAAATAAATCATTCTAAAATTTTGACATAAAAATTGGCAAAATAAAAAAAGAGAGAAATAAATTATACACGCCATTGCCAACCTAGAGTTAGTCACCAGCTCTCAATCATCTCTACAATCACCGTCTCCCTGCTCTTCTGCTTTTGCAGGAGGAGGAAGGATACAATTACATATGTACAAATCCGAAGCATACTCCAATGGCCTGTCTTTGTGCCTTGGCCTCTCTCTCTCCTCTAAAAGGCCTGCGCCTCACAACATGAAGAACAATGGCTTTGGCGAAATGACTGGCCCTCTTGAATAAGCAGCAGAAAGCAAGATCAAAAATGGATCATACCTACCAATTATCAACTGCTACAGAATTAGCACGCGTTACAAATATTAACAAAATAGTGAATTTAGGGATATTGTCACTGTAACACACCAGTCCCTGACTATTTGCTATGTTTGCTCATCGTGGCCGCCAGAAGCTTGGACCTGAACCACCATAATCTACAACAGATTACCAGGAAAAAATTAGGGAACAAAATCATCCCCTGCATAAAGAGACCAAACACTGCAGGAAATGCACACACCTCTGCCGTTGACGGGTATCGGACCTTCAAAGGGTGGTCTAAAGGGCATAGAGTCTCTGTGGTTCATTGATCGGGGAGGATATCTCCACCCTTGGCTGGGTAACCTTGTTGGTTCACATGGGGGGCCACGAAAGGGGGCAGTTCCATAAGACGTCTTGCCTTTGTCAGGATATCGACCTAGTGCAGAAAGAAAAGCAAATAATTTTAAGACACCATAAAATACCAGAGGAAACAGGGAAGTGTTCCAAAGCCTTGATATTTTAAAAAATTACCAGAAAAAGAATGTGAAGGAAACCCCCAGCTCTCACGGGGCTCATAAGGTGGTTTCATTCTTTCATGGTTATTGTAATAGTTTTCTCTGTCCCCATTCGGCCCAAAGTCAAATCTGTTGTGATAAGGAGGCGGCGCCTCCCGTCGAGGCTTTACCTGCTGATCTCCTTGAACATAAGAGAACTGATTTGATGGTGGGGCATGAGGTGGTCGTAAAGGGTAACCTTTATTATGAAAGGTAGCACCATCCGTTTGTGGAACATTTCTCCCTGAATATGTAGGAAAACTACTATAAGAGCAAGAAGTAGAATCAGGCATCTGCCTTTGAAGATCTCTACATTCAGGGGCACGATAGTGCACGGCATCAGAAATTGTTTGGTTGATTCTTGGTGCATTCAACTGCTGAGGTGGAGGTTGAACTCTATTTTCATGCACGTTCTGCAAATGCACATCCAAGTTAGAACATGGAGGGTGGATGACAACAGGTGGAGGCAGAGGTGGTGGTGGTGGCGGAGGCGGAGGAGAAGATGGTAGTGGAGGAGATGATGGTGGCACATCTTGAGGTAATGGAGGGGCAAGGGGCAATGGGCAGTTCTGTTCAAACTGATTATGTGAAGCCTGCACAGTATTAGCTATGGCAACACCACAAGATGAACTTGTGTCAACATCACAAGAAGGAGCGACATCCTCCATTTCAAGCTCTCCATCGACATCTTCCAAGATATGCCTATGCCTTTCAGTAGCAGGTGTGGTTTCATATTCTTCATGCCCACGAGGATTATGCTCAGGAGTGACAGCTTCAAAACTTTCCCCATCAGAATCACTTCCATCATGTTCATCCTTGAGCATGCGAGGCATACAAAATCCCGGAAGTTGAAAACTTGAATTGCTGCAGCAATACAGGAAGAACTCAATAAACGATATAATACGAGAATGCAAGACAATCAAGGAGTAAGATGCAACCAATTCAAACCTTCCATATTCGTCAACAAGCATACCCTCCATTTCTCTAAGAGGATCATCCAAAGACCTTTCTGTTCTCGAGGAGCGCCTACCATAGGCACCAGCAGAAGAAGGCCCAGTAAGGGAATTCAGTTCTCGCATATGGCGATGAATTATGGACTCTGGAAAAATCCTTCTTTCCAACCAAAGTCTCAAAACCTTATACAAAAGAAGAGGAGCACGTAAGGCACTTAGAACAAGCCAGACAACAATACTGTCAGATGTTTGCCCAACACTAAGCAATAATGAATTGTAAAAGGCTACTATTACGATGTGCTATTAAAGGGAAATTAAAATGACCCAACAAAGAAAAAAGAGCTTTGCTTGCCTTTAGACACTGCCTGCGATTTTCATGTGCAGCACTTCCAGGAGGAGCAGCAGCTGACAACAACCGTGGCAGGACTGCTTGGATTGCAGAAAGGTACATACCACCACCATCACCTATTATTCAAAATCAATATCAAGATCACGAAATCCAACATATAGATGATTCATACTTTACTTATCTCTATATGTGTCAGATGATTAGCTCTGATACACTGAAAAGATGCATTACCCTTCAAACCTCGAGAGTACTGAGTGATTGAATCCACCAGGAAGAATAAGTCCACCCGTCTGTGTAACCTTGACTCAGTTTCCAAATGACGGGCAAGAATTTCCAACGCCTGAGTTTTAAAGAAGAAATATTACAAAAGGAGAAAAAGATCTAGGTGCATTCTTGTTCTCCATAACAATTTCAACATTATTTAAAGTTCTAAGGGAAATAACGAAAGAAGTCTGTGGTGTATCATCTACAACTACAAACAGAAATATTTGCGTTATATCCATTCAGTCATGAATTCATATATCTAAAGATTTTACATAAGTTCGACACAATTTTGAAATTTAAAGAAAATAACCAAGGGGGAATCAGGTACCAGCCATATCTCCTCCAACTAAATTAGAAATTAGATTTCACCTACCTTCGCAGCTACACCAATCTTTCCACAGTCAATGGCTACACGAGTTGCTCGGCCAATGCTCTCCTTGGTCCTTGTCAATGTTCCAAGCGTTGTCTCAAATGATGTGAGAGCAGCAAGTGCTTCTTCATACCTGCCCACAGATTTTGGTCTTTGACTAACCACTGATTCAGACTTTCCATCCTCATCAACTGGAGTAGATGAAGTTCTCTTGTCTTGTAAATCAACATCAGGACTACAACTGCCATTGTTCTGAAGAATATTACTACTATCTGAAGTAGACATGCGACAACCTGAGGTATTGGGAGGCGATGCTTGTGCAAGAGAATCTCCTCCATCTGTTACGGATGGACTTGACCGGATACCAGATACGGTTTTCTCACCTAAATACTCATTTGGATAAGAAACTGAACTTGGATCCTTCTCTGTTTGTCTATTTTCAACCTCTTTCACAACATCAAACCTAAAACAAAGAAATACAATGCAACAGAGATTTAGAACATTACTAACCTAAAAGTTCCTCTATAAAAGATAACAACGTAAAGCAGGTTTCGGTACCAAAAACTCCTCTAAAATAATGGCAGGAAAAAAAGTAAACAAATTAAGGAAGTATAGGCATTAACTTACTAAATGGAAAAGGATGGAGAGGGGGACAATCTTGTGAAATATGAACAAGAAAACAATGAACTATCAAATTCTACTGCATAACTACACTATGGTACAGAAGCTTACATGTCATTGACCTCTCTGTTATCTTCAGAACAGGGCTCCAAAGACTCGATATTCACACTGGCACCTTCTCCACCATAGTGACGCGGACTTGCATCATTTCGAGGTGAAACTTCAACCATCCCATGGATGGTGCCTGATACAGGATCTGTGCTCTTCAGAGCAGGCTCTGACATATCACATTCAATATCAGGATTTTCTGCATCACAATTGCTCAATTCATTTTTAGCATCACCTCCGCCCTTCAGAGGCAACTCACCCATTGAAGCTTGATTAGCTCCAGTACCAGCCTCTCTTATATCCATATTAGGCAATAAATGCACTGGACTTTCAGTCTGGACTGCAGTTCCAATAGTGTGACAACCAGAAGAACCACCACTAAGATTTTTATCATCAGCAAGGTCCCCAGAATCTGGAAATTCATGAATTGAACATTCATGAATTTGAATGTTAGGACTCTCAGTTCTTTGATCAACATCCACTTCCACAACTGATTTAGTACTTTCCTCCAAGGTTACAGGGTTTGAACTGGTAGAGAATCTAGAAGCATCAACACCTGAAGCTTTATTGCCCAAAGAGTCGTCACTCTGAAGTCCCAAACCATTCCCTGTATCACTTTCCACAGTGATAGGGAGGCATCTGCTCGTGGATGAAATATGGCAACCAATAGTAGACGTCTTCAAGATTGAAGATTCATAATGGCACCTATCATCATCTTCAGCAGCATTAGCTGACATGGCTTCTAGAGCGCGATGAAGACGCTTAGATGGAGGTAAAACAGCTTCACCATCAGCAGAGGAACCAAATGATTGGTCTTTCTTGGTGTTCCAAAGCTGAGGCTTATTTCCCAAAATTCGAGTGCAACCTCTTGAAGGTGTTATATTATCCAGAGCTCCATTTACCACATATGAGTCCCTAGCAGCAGGGAAATTTTCATCACAATTAGAGGATGTGCTGATCGGCTCTGATGAATTGACCATAACTTCCTTCAAACTTTCTTCATTGTGCACAAAGCTATCAGCTTCCTCATTAGCAGAAGATGGTTTGCCCATTCGCACCCTGGCTCGTTTCACCAATGGCAAGTGCTCATCTCCATCTTCCTTAGAAGAAGTTCCATTTTCCTTGGAACAAGTCCCATTCATCTTTCCACAATCAGTCTGCAGAGTCTGACTACTGCTTTGCAAACCAACCTCCAAAACTGTCTCCTTGTCCAACATACTAATAGGCTCAGATACATCATTAGTAACTCGCTTTCTGTTCGGCTTCCTTTTCTTCTTAATAACAACCTTACCTCCTAGATCAAGTCCTTTGTTCAACTGAGCATCACCATCCATGCATTCGACAACAGTCTCTGAATGTTCACCTTTACAACCAGAATCAATAGCACCACCTTCATCAAGACTAAATGTGTCAGAATCAACTGTGACTACTTCAGAACCATTGTCTTCAATAAAACCATTTGAAACAAAAGCAGCTGAATTCACATCATCACACTCAGAGTTATCAGGTGATTTCCGTATTCGTTTATTCCTTCTTAAACACCTATCTCGAACTAGATTACCAGATACGTCCCTAGCATCCTTGGCATCATCATCACATGGCATTGTGAAGTTCCGTAATCTACGCGATTCCATCCTAGATGAGCTTCTTGATCTACGAGCTGGTGCTTCCTCTTTCTGTGGTCGCGAATGTCTTAATCTTTTTCTTGAAGAGCAGGTCACTGGCAGAGGTGTTTCAGTAACCATTTCTGTGGCAGCAGGTTCCTCAATTAGGGCCTCCTTATCAACCATTGCATCAATTTGTGCAGTCGCTGAAGCATCCTCAACAGATAAACTTGGCTCATTTCTATCAATCGTTGAATGTGAAGATTTCGAGCGTGAATCAAGAATAGCTTCAGGAGCTTCGGACTGATCCTTTGAACCAAAGTTGGACGAAGAGTCCACTGAGTTCCCTCCATTTGCAGTGGAGTTGAAATCATCAACTTGGTCCTCTTTCTTCAGCTTGTCATAGCTATCAATGATCTCCTGGACTGCACGAACAAAATCTGAACCCTTTCCATGACGCTTGCCCAAAAGAGACTGTTTCTTCTCCTCAGTAAATGCCTCAACATCCGCAGGGTTGCAGAACGCTCTGCATTAAAAAGGAAATACACTCAATGGAATAAGGCAAACTAGCTAGCAAATATCAAATTCAGACTTCTGGTGCAGTTAAGGGTAACGCGTCACTTGGGTAAGTTAGGTCACTGTCACCACAAACATAATGGGCATGTGATGTAAAAAATGAAATAAAGATTTGTACACAATAGTATTGAAGTTTCCAGCTTATATATACATTCACAATGCACCCTCATTGGTATATATTTACTAAAGCCTAACTCACAATTCCAACATTATTCAGAAAATTTCTGTCATTTGTATAATCTTTACTAATATTCCCACCAATATTCTGTGGACTACCTACATTTCATCATCCCTGATTGTATGTAACCAGCTAATTGATGAGGGAGTGCTTGGGGTCCTGCAACTTCAATAACTTTAAAGGATAGAAGTTAAGCGTACAACCCTTCACTCACAAATCAAAGCCCTCTACGCTGTAAAAATGTATGCACACACATGGATGCAAGGACACTTGTGCACGCATTCATATTCACAATCCAAGTAAACAGAAGGATAAAAAGAAAATATCCTTCAATTCACATTTGAGTCCTAGCGTATCAAATATACTTCTATGCAACAGAGGCATATATCTCCTCCTAAAAAAACTCGTCCTTCATCAACAAAATCTTTATTTCCTACACCAAAGCCCTATGAAAGCAAATTTATGCCAGTCTTGCATGTGAAGCCAAAATTAAGATAGGAGAAAATAGATAATTTTAAAATGTGTTATTACAATTATTCTCCTTATAAAAGCATGAAACTTGGATGAAGTAAATGACTCAAAAGACCAGACTTTAGAAACAAAAAAGAAGGGCATTCACATCCCTAACGTCTCCTATAGCTCCACCCAAACAAGATAAATATAGGAATACGTTCACTCTTCAGAAATCTGGTGTGTTGTTGCTAGGCCATGAGTATGAATAATTGATCAAGTCAGTTCTTACTATAAATAAAAAAAACATTCGTTCAGGTTCACAATCTGGTAACATAAAATATTTGTCAAGAAAATATTCAAACAGGCTTCACCTCCAAGCAAGGCTAAAAAAGCAACAACAAAAAGCCCAAATCAGTCCCACTTTTTCTAATCAATGGCACTCCCCGCTTAGTATTCTAACAAGAGGAAGAAACTAACAACCATTTACTACGGAAGTTATCTGATGTAGGATCATCATCTTGCCCTATTACCTTCATAATGTAATAATTATTTGCCAAATCAGGTTTTTCCAGTGCATAATTCAAAGGGGTAAACGTCGACTTAAGTGTGGTCATTGTATCTGCTATCCAACCAACTCTAAATTTCCCTAAAAGTAAAACAAATCCTTCAGGAGCTTCTTCCCCTTCATCTCTCTAATACTAATTATATGACCAGAAATAACTAGTAGAGATAGAAAAGTGTCATGCAAAGAACGAGAATGTAATAACAGAATGAGATCTTGCCAGTGGAGGGAATAAAACCAGGAAAGTAGATCCGCTGCCTTTTTTTTACATCAAATCACTTGTGATGCAAGAGAGATTGGAGTCCATCCAATAAAGCATCACACACAAATCTACAATTACACCCATGGCCTCAAATCTATGTCAAACTATAATTATTTCTCATACGAAGTAGGTTGCTCTAAACTGATCAAATATGTTCAAACCTCACAATATCGTGAAAGAAAACATTCAAATAGTCTATACTAGTGCTTATTCCGGAAGACCTCCAAAAGATTTGTTTTCCCTGGTGTTGAAATACTGAGTAAAGTTTGCTACTCTTGAAGGGTGAAGCATAACTTTCTCACTTCAATTCAATGTATGCAAGTTTACCACCATTTGATTACATCACAATTCTCTCCTTTTTTTCTCAACGTTGTTGGTAAATTTAGACGAGGGAAGAGTTGAGAGTTGTTCATCTTCATCAATTTACTTATTGACATTGTAAGAGTGTATAATGCCCCTACCCAAATTACCTTGTTTTATCCTCACTTAATGGAATAGAATAAAGGCCCTAAATAATAACAATAAATCATCAGTAACATACAACTTTTTCTATTATTATTCACCACTCAACTTTGCTAGTACCATCCCTAATTTTTTTCAGAGGCACCTAACACTCACAGGGTGAAAAAAAATATATACAACTAAAATTTGACTCATGCACAATTAGATGGAAAAAAAAAAGAAAAAAAAAAAAAGAGGAGGATGAAGACAGACACAATAACATAGTAGCGATTTTCGATTGACCAAAAACATATGAACATATCTAGCAACACAAGTTAAGAAGCCAACTACCAAATTTTGGAAGAGAAGAACAACATAATCAAGCTTTATTCTTCATAACTCAGTACAATCAACATAGTAATCATACCTTACTCAAACAACATGACATCATATTATCATAAAGTACAAAGTTAACTTCCGTCAATAAGTCTGATCTGAAAGGAAAGTCATAACTAATCAATTATTTGACTTACACCACTACAGAAACCACCGCGTTAGACTAGAAGTTAATCAAGAATGCATTGAGTACTTACATCTGTTGGGTTCCAAAGAAGTAGACAAGTACTTTCTTCCAATCAGCAGAGTAACCCCACTTCTCAGGCTCGCTTACCTGCAAGCACAAACCAACTCGATAAGCCAAGTTAAGCAGTCCTAATAATCACTGAAAGTAAGTCTAGTAATCACTGCAGTAGTGCACTTCCATAGTGACTGTCCATGAGAATCGATGAATATAAAGATCAAAGAAAATTAAAATTTTCAAATTTAAATGTAGAAACTTAACGCTAGTCATCAAACCCCCATTTCCAAATACATCGATAAATAAATATCATAATAAAAATGACAAAAGTTAGATAAATAAAATTGAAGAACTCATGAATCACCTCTATCACATAACACTTCCAACTACCAAGACTAGAAAATTAAAAAATTACAAAAACCTAACAATAAAATTACAAAACCAAAAAAGTTAACTCAAGGCAATTAAAGAATAAATAAATTGAAACTCAGATCCAGAAAACTATCCTTCCAAGCAAAAGCCCACACTGTATCAAATTCACTAAGCTTGCACAAAAGCACCAAAACCCTAAATAAAGCATATTCCTCAACTGCGCAGTCGTCTTGACTGGCATGGCATAAATAAATAGATAAGATATTTTTTTTTACAGAAGACTTACCGTAGCAGGCCAAGCAGGGAAGCCTTTGACCTTAGCAAGTACAAGATCGCCGACCTTCCATTGGCGGCGAGCAGCGGCGGCCTGAGCGGCTTTGCTAGCTCCTTTCCTTCGGCTGGGCGCCATCAAAGAACCACCACCGGAGGCGCTCCAATTGAATTAGGGAACGCTATTTGAACTGGAATAAATACACGAACTCAGGGATGTGCCGCAACCGCCCAAGGAATTGAACAATCTGGCACTCTACGGAAAATCTCTGGGAGAGATTCGCAGGCATTGAAGCACAGAGATCGCATTCAAAGCGAGAGAGTGAGTGACTGAGTCTGTGCACGAAACCCTAATTTCAAAGAGAGAGAAAGAGATAGAGAGAGAAAGAGAAGGGGAGAGAGACGAAAGAGTTGGATGAGTATGATAGAAGAGTTTTATGTGGAAGAAGCGCAAACAGAGAGATGAGTTGGTTAGGTGAAGGGGAGACTAATGTGCGCTAGGGGTGTGCAGTATAAGTCCCGTGTAGGTTTTTTTGTTTGGCCTGGTTGCAGTATGCTAACGTGGGCTGGATGTGTGATGTTACTAGGGTCTTCGATATTGGCCATACCGCAAAGGACTAGTATTGTGCTATGCGAATAACACGTGACCCACCAGCCATGCTTCCACACTTCCTCAAGTACAACTCAAATTACTTTTTTCCGCTTTGTGGTTAAACCCGGCCCGCTTCTGTTTGGTTCTGGATAAACAGGACCGGGTTATCCATGAATTATATCACAAACAAATATCAGTATATCATTAACTTGTAAGTTTTGAAGTGCTTAGTTAGTGAGAAAAAAATTGTCATTCCGCTAGGGTTTTTGATTGAAACTTATGCCCAAATTTTATTTTAGTTCTCCAACTAATTTTTTTAATACAAATTTATAAATAAACCCAATCCTAGACATGTATTTATAAAAAAACCCAAGCACTATTTAAACATAGAAACACACCCAAAATCAACCCCAAAGTCAACTTTTTGGGTGTGTTTATAAAGTGTTTTGGGTGTTGGGTTTTTTTATAATTTCAACCTCCATTTTGGGTGTTTTAGTGAAACTCCCTTTTTTTAATTTCGTGTCAGACTAGTCCTTCCGTGAGCTTTTTGGGCAATTAACAAAATAGACGTCGGGAGCTATATGGCATGGCCTTGTGACCCATTGTGTACATAAGGTTTGGAAACTCCCACTAGTTGGGCCACTTTAAGCAGGCATGGACCATCATTGTTGACCATTGGATCATGTTTTGGTTTTCGGGCCTCAATCTTGGGTCTGATTTCTTTACTGAGAGGAACCAAAGGGGCTGGGCCATCTTGCCCTTTTTTTATATTTTACATTGTAAAATGCAAAAAAATTCATTTTATTTGCCGTCAAAAAACTTGGATTCCAAGTCCCTGTAGGCATATGTGCCGGTGAAAACGCGTACGCGGTAAGTCAAAACCCTTGAAGCCAAACTCTATATATATAGTTTTCGAACCCCTTGTTGGACCACGCTCAAACTCAGAAGTCAAAACTCACATATCGCATAACCCTACTTCACCAAACTAGAGCAACAAAAAACATCACCTTGAAGAAGTTGTCAACAAATTTTCAGTGTAACCTGCAAGAACCAAATCCTAATTTTCTCAATATGATCATCTTGCCTCTGCCATGCGCCGCCGGACCACGTGAAGATCTTCATCACAGCCTTGTTTGCAAGGCCAGTTCAATCAGTACAAGGAGGAGAAATAATCTTTGTAAGGTTAGTGTAACCTCAACATACCAACCCAGAAGCCTCTTCCAAGTACTGATCAATAATAACCCATTTCAAAACGACAACGTTTTGATCGTCTCCAATCCCGGGCTAGACAGCAATAAGAAAGAATATTGTACAAGAACATTGGAGAAAGAAGCGGCTTCTTCTATAATCCAGAGGCTAGAGTCCTTCGGGGAAAGGGTGATAGGGTTGGAGAAGAAAAAGTTCATGAACAAAACCAAAGGATCGGAACTATCACATGAGGAGAGCATATTGGTGGAAGATTTGAGTAGAGAGATTGTTAACAAGTTCTTGGCCAAACCGATTGAATACTTGAGAAGTGGTGATGGCGACTTGCAGGAAAAGTTAAAGGAGCTCGAGTTTCTTGTGAATATTCTTGAAGAATCATGTTTGATGGGGGAGAAAGTACCAAACATTCTTTCATGCAAAGCCACCCACTAGCTAGCTATGCCGCCTTCATTTCTTGGGGGTTTAGGGGTTAGGAGGATTAATTCTTGCCGTGCCATATTTTTTTAGCTCTCCATGTATTGTTTAATGCAAACAATAAGAATTGAAATTACTAATTAAATTATGATAATATGGTAAATTCACCTTTTTTCATTAAAAAAAAATTAAAATAAAATCAGATAATGGTCCTATTTTTATCGAACACAACACAACTACCATTATCTTTTTAAATTCTAAAATAAAATAAAATTTTTTTTAAAAACAATCGGTGTGTTTGCCAAGGGGCTAGTATGTACTAAAAAGAAGGTAAATTATTTATGAACAAAAACACAATAAAGGAGCAAGAAACCATGATGGATACGTAAACGAATATAGTCACACTCAAATTTATTGGGTGTTTGTTTGATTTGTACCTTGTCGGTATATTGTGTCTTTCGCACCGCGGGACTCATTTGGTTTTGATGTTTGTGGATTTCCCCTTTTGGGCCCTAGTTCTACTTTCAATTGGGTCAGGTGTTGACTTTTCTAAACAAAATTTTGATATTAGGCTTTGCCTATCTTCTGTTTCGGATTCACATGCTCCATCACATTGATTTGTAGAAAAATAATTAAATAGGTGTAATATTTATGTATTTTAATTTAGGAAAATAATTAAATATGTGTATATATATATATATTTTTTGAAACTTGATAGTGAGGTTCATAAAATAAAATAGAAAAATAGAAAAAGAAGAAAAAAGGCTGAAAGTGAAGGTGAGACCAACTTATGATTAGCTTTTTTAGGTTGTGCTCCTCCCGACTGACAAAGTAAAACGTTAATTTGGAATACCATGGGCCAACCACTTTCCTCCCCAAAAAAGAATAATACTTCTACTTTTGTACATAACTTGACCACTTGACGACAAAATAGTGGGACCCAACACTAAACAAACTACTTATCAAAATCATGAATTACACGTGGGAGCCTGCAACGCCAACACGTGTCAAAGAATGGATATATCTTCGGGGATATTTTTTGGGCCAACAGAAGAAGATATTTCGATTCGCAAGACAATTGGACACGTGGCGCCCAACGAGTTTATACCCGATTCCATTCCGCTGATCTACAATTCCTGGATTCACGATCTAAGTATCCAAGCAATGACATGCTAACACGCGTCGATCCGCAAATAGAAATTCGACACGTACCCCTGTACTGTACTCTCGTCCCCCATATATATAAGCTCGCGCGACAGCATCGCCTTCATCTCGATTGTTCATAAATTTTTTTTTCAAAAATACATTCTAGCATTGTCCCGATGAGTTTGAACCGGCGACTCAGACCGAACCCGCCGAGTCAGAGGTCCGATTCAGATGACCTCGGAATTCTCAACGAGCGGATACTCTTCCTCGTCTTCCGGTCCATGAAATGGGATATTCAGGCGCTCTGCTCAACCGCGTCGGTGAACCACAAGCTCCGAGCAATCGTGAAGAGGCTGCTGTGGCGGGAGCTCTGCGCGCATAGCGCCCCTCGCATGATAGCGTCGCTGGAGAACGCTTCGCCGAGCGGTCGAATCGGCGGCGGATGGCACACGCTCGCGAAGCTCATGTTCTTTTGCTGCGGCTGCGAGCCGACTCGGAATTTCAAGGTGAGTCGACCCACCCCGGGCCACTTCGTCAAATCGTCGAGGTTCTCTAAGACTTCGGGTCAGAGCTTCTTGACGAAGCGGTGCCGGGGCGATTTGCTGTACGTCAGCGACCCGTGCGAGCATCAGATGGGGGAGAAGGAAGACGATTTGGGGATTTACAGAGGGGTATTTAAGGGATTTGACAAGTCAAAGACGAGGGCGTATTTGATCGGACGGCGAGTAAAGCTTGAAGAAAGGGTGAGATGTCCTTACTGTGGGGCCCCCGAGTGGAGCATGACCACGGCTGGGCTGGTGCCCAAGAGCGCGGCCCGGAGGCTTGGCTCGCATCATGGGGCGTTGGAGTATTTTGTGTGTGTGAACGGGCACATGCATGGTTCGTGTTGGCTGGTGCCTTTGTCGTCCGATGATAATGAGGATGATGAGATGGACGGTAGTGATGACTCCGATTTCGATGATAATGATGGTGGAGTCCGCAGAATTGGCTACGACGATCGGACGGCCACAAATGGAAGTATGTGCTCTATGGGGGAGGAAGTTGTGGTGGACGGGCCCGCAAAGTAACTGCCCTTTGGGGCCCGTTTTGATGGGTCGATGTTGGACCGTTGCTTTTGGTTTCTCTCCGGTGATTCCTATCCTTTCGGCGTCGGTTGCTGATGTGGAGATTTTTTGGGTGTGGGATGACGTGGAGATTGGATAACATAAATTTAGGCTGACGTGTAACATTTTTGTGGAAATTATTTGTGTGAGTTCCGTTCCGCTGCTTTTTTTTTTTCTCTACTCTTTTCTTTTTGTTTATTTTTAATTTATTTTGCTCCACAGCTGGATGGAGCTTAGTAGTGTGTGATAGGATATTGGATTTTATGTAGACATTCTGGTTTGTCGATTACAATTTTTATTTTTAATGAAATAAAAACTTTATTGGATAAATTCAACGTACAATCAAAGATATTAATAAGACATTTAAAATATTAATTTCAAAAAGACAATAAATTAACATGTTAAAAGTAAAATTAATGCGGATAAAAGTCGCACTAAAATTATTAGCTCATATTATCACAATTAATTATAAGTTCAAACAAAGTTCATAAACTCAATATAACCAAAACTCTAAAATTATCTATGAGCCTAGACAAGCCCTATCACTATCACCTGAAGAAGCGTCGTTGCAATCACACCCACTACCGCATTCTTATTATATCTAAAAAATATATAATTTCTAGATATCTACATGCGCATAAAAGCGAACAAATAAACGAAACCAACAACCTTGCTAGATAATAATTGGGTGATTTGCAGCCATCTTCGTCAAATACGATGTAGAATTAAATTTAGAAAACATGAGCGGAATTAATGAGCGAATTTTGGAAGCAGAATTTGATTGATAACATATACTAAAAAGGGTGACGAGGAACTTTAATCTAACCATGGCTCATAAGAAACTAGCACAAGGAGCTTTTATTCAAAATGCCCCAGTGAACTCATTCACTAACCAAAAGAAAAAAGACAAGAAGAGATGAGAGGGAGGAGGAGCAACGATGCTTCTTCCTTCTCCACTCTCTATAGAATTTGTACCATGGGTAGTTAAGGCTATGGTTTGTTGATTACATTGACCACATAATATCACATATGCCTATTTTTCTTGGCATTATATGGCCGAATCTATTATGTTTAATTTGAGGGTCGAATTTTAATTAATAAATAAACTAATTTATGCATACAATTATAATTTATCAAAATATAAATATAAAACTTATTGAGCCGCAAATCTCTTGCAACCATCTCCTTTATACTTTAAAAAGGAGGTTGCAAATTTGTTTAAGTTATAGATAAATAATTGTTTAATATGAATTCATAAAGGGCTTCCCCCTTCCCTTTCCGGTCAAACCCCACCGTCGAAACCGACAGGAACCGCCGCGACTAGCTCAGGAAAAGCCGGTTTTTAGCAGAATTTTCGAGCTTCCGTTCTCCCTCCTCCGGGCACCAAACCAGTCGAGTAAGGTATGGATTTCTAGCTATTTTTTATGCTCTAACTGATGGTTGAGTAGGATTTGAGGAATTTCTAGCGTGAAAGGGTTAATTTCGAACCTAGGGTTCGGCCGGTTTTGAGATCACGGTTTCAGCCACTTCCGGCCACTTTTTGGGGTATGTTCAAGAACAAAAGTGGTTCCAAATAGGGTGTTTTACCTAGGATAGGAGTCTTGAGCCGAGATGTTGAGATTTTCCGGCGAAGCGTTATCGCTTTAGGCACCACGCGC